GAAGGAATAGGAAAGCCCCTACAAGTACTACCTGAGACTTCTTACTTGTCCCAATGGGATATCCCTGGGACATCTCTGGGATGTGCTATTTCTTCAAGAAAGGGATATCCTTGGGATGTCATTGGGCCCAGACATTTTGATATCCCTAAGATGTCCCTGCTCCTTGTCTCTGGGACATCGCACTTGTCCCAAGGGGATATCTCTGGGATATCTTTGGGATATACCTGTGCTGTGTGGGAATGAACTTCTTCATCCGAGATGTTGTACAAACACTGTAAGAGACTTGTAATTTTGGTAATACTCTTATCAATGCCTGTATAGATGAGTTCAGCTTCTGTATATCATCGATGTTCTTTCTCCTGGATACTGCAGGCGGAGTCAAACACCTCTTTCCCTACAAGACCTGCTCGTGACGGTCGATGCCGAAAGTGCTCACAGGGAACTCAGCATATTTCAAAATTGGCATGCTAAAATCGTTGAGTTCTTCTGTACACACGAGGACGAAAGCCCTCCTATGCCAGCTCAGCAGCGTCACATCCGGACCAAGAATACACCAAACGGAAGGAAGAAGGGAATGAGAAGAGGAGGGAATCATAGCACCAAGTCCCGTCTAATCGATTTGGATCTCCCAACGAAGAAGATGAAGACTGATTTGAGATTGTCCATCTCCTCGACTCCTCATTCTCCAGTACATCTTCGAACAGCTGCTTGGAAGGAACCCAAGATTTTGGGGGTTCCAAAGAGCCGGCTCCAACCCTTCCTTCGTGAAATTTCCACTTTGATGTCTCGAGAGGTGGGCCCAATCCTTGGACATGAAACGTAGCTGTAAATTAAAATTTATATATATATATAACTCCAACCAATATAGTTGTATCCAGACATGCCAATCAGACATCATTAATGAGAATATAAAGGAATAAATTACGTTCATCAACACAAGAAAGCTTTTGTGCAGGAAAAAGGAGAGGAGAAACAGAAATAATTCCTTTTCGCTATGTCTTTTGACAAATGAGACTACCCCCGAAGGGAAATGAAAATGGACTCTTTTAGCCTCCTTTCCAGTTTCATTCAATTGAAAAGAAAAAAGTCGACATCGTGGAAAGTCGAACATTTTCTTCCGCGGGAAGAAAAATTTATTAGAAATCTCAGACCCTCATTTTATAACCTACCCGATTGAGCCTGATGAAGGCACCATAAGTGCATTTCATCCGCTTTTAATTTTCTGACTTGCATTTTAAAAAAGGCTTTAGAGAGTCCTTTGCAAATGCAGCATTTTTTATTCGTCCCCCCCCCCCCTTTCTGGTGGGAATCTCTACAGAGGTTAACGACGGATCGACGTCATCAACAGATCTAAAAAATATCAAACGCGGGATTTATCCTAAGAACTTCATCAATATTTTTCTTCTTATGACCTCATCCCAGATCATTTCCTTTTTCGCCTTTTTCGTAGTTGAGGCATGTCTTGAAGCGATCTCTGGATCATATTGCCAGCGTGTTCAGTGAAGGCCCACTTTTCCCTCGAATCATTCTCATTTTCACCTTGGAAGAGGATGGGATCGAAATCCATCCGAAACGGGAGGAGATTCTCCAGACCATGACATCTATTCTGATTACGGTAAGTCCGGACCTGGCCCTGCTACTTTGCAAAAATCTATTCCAGGGAACAAATGTGAGCTACTGCTCACATTTGTTCACTGGATTTGATTTCTTCGTTTCCAACTGAATAGGTGAGAGGGTGTCTGCAAAACTTCAAGACAGTCGAGAGTGTCGTTCCCAGCTTGACGAGGGGAGAGGCCATCCAATACATCAATGCCGCATTGACTCATGATGTGTATGAGGGAGCCTTGCAACTAACCCTCGACTCCATGTGTCACCGGTATCAAGCACCAATGGCCCTGCTGGAAAACTTGAGTGGGTTTTTTGTTACACTTCCCATGTCATCTGCTGTTGAGACAGTGTTTTATTGTATTAACATTTTCAGGCAAATCCTACGGATGGCTATGCGAAAAAGAGCGCACACGCCGACTCGAGGAATTTCTTGCCTCTCGTCCAAGTCTCGAAGCGACTATGAAAGAATATTGGAAGTATCGAGAAATCGTGGACGAGATGGGAGGGATTGCCATCACTCAATTGTTCCCCATGTTCCACGTCTCGCTGAAGGAACTAAAGAGAGATCTCGTTGAAGCTGCTCACCAGCAAGCAACTCTTCTCATGGATCACATCATGCGAGACCATCGCGCCAAATGCAAACAGTAAGTTTTCAAAAGAAAGAAAAGGGAGAAAACCAGGTTGTCACACGATTTGTCCTGACTGCAGAATCTGTCACGAGTTTGAGGAGATTCGGAATCTGGCCGAGACGTATCCCGAGAATACGGAAAGTCTCCTGCAAATGGTCGAGGACATGGCTAAGATCAGGAAGGAGAAACTGGAATCTCTGATCGAGGCTCTGGAGCTCCTCAAGCCTTCAATCGTAACCCTAGCGGCAGAAGGAGAACTCACGGAATCAGACATTGCTCTTCACGTGGAGACGATCATGTGGCCGACGAATATTCTTCCTTATTTTACTTCCAACACTAATGTCTGTCTGTCCGGTTGATCAGGTTCCAACGCCCCTCGACGAATTGACGAAATATAATAAGGATAATATTTTGCAGATGTTGGACGAGCAGAAAGACACGTTTGAATTGCAACTGCAGCAAAAAACCGAGAATCTTATCGTAGAGCTCGATCGCTTGAAATCTCGGCTTAAGGAGCTGGACGACTGTGGGGAGATTGAATCAGTGGATGCCTACCTGCATGTATGAAACCATTGGAGATCCCTTGTGATTGTCATGTAGCAGATGCAAGTAACTGAAGGATGCTCGCATTTATTTCCTCCTTCTATCCTTTAGGAAGTGCTGAAACTTCAGTCCCGCCTGGAAGAATATGAGAAGGCAGCGGATTGGATCAACGAACAGGAAGGTCTTTTCAAGATGCCAACTTCTTCCTATCCAGAACTTCGACTGATTCGAGTCAATCCTTCGTCCTTTCTTTCGGCTTTAATGAATTATCATTCATAATTCACTCAATACGTACTGCATCAGAACCTTTCTTCCCATGACAGGCTGGCTTGGAACCTTTCTACCAACTCTTTTCAACGATACGTCAGTGGCAGAGAAATGAGAAAAAATGGCTCGATGGCGCTTTTGTCGATCTCAGTGCTGAAGTTGTGGAGTCTGAAGCCGATGAGCTTTCCAGGTATGCCGTTTCCGTACATCCTTCGTTTCAGCTTGGTATTTTTTCCTCAAGTGTGAATGCGTCTTCCCGATGAAGAGAGCTGTATCGACTGCAAAAATGGTTCAAGTCAAAGTTTAAGCAGCAACAGATGGACGTCGACCCTCGATTTGGGGGCTTCCGAGTTAACCTCGAAGATGAAACCTGTGAAAACTTGCCTGGTCCGCTGCGAATGTGTTCTATCAGCATCAGTCGCCTCAAGGATTTCAAGGTACAAGGCTCATAATGCACCGTGGTGTTTTCAAAATGTATCATGGCACTGTACGCTGTGATTTGTGATTTAGTACCAAGGATTATCATCCCTGAATTAGTACCGCATGGATCTTACACCGAAAATTACACACACACACACAAAACAAGTTTTATAAGTAAAAAAAGAAGACTTAAGCCACATGACCGTGAGGGAGATGCAATGCTTACTTGCATCCAGTTATTTGTTATCTCAACTATCGAAATTTGATGTGTCCAGCAACACATCCCGATGATCTCGGTGCTGTGCAACCCGGGGTTGAGAGCAAGGCATTGGGCTCGGATGTCCGAGGCCGTCGGGATGGACATAGCCCCTACTGCGGGAACGAGCCTACGTCGGATGCTCGCCCTCGACCTTCCTCCTCATTTGGAGAAGCTCGAGAACGTCAGCACCGCTGCCAGCAAGGAGTATGCCCTCGAGAAGGCCCTGCAGAAGATGAAGGAGGAGTGGACTTCCCTCCAGTTCTCGACTTCCGTGTACAAGTGAGTCAACCCCCAGCATCCCATCCGTGAAACCCTCTAGCCATCCCTACAATCATGATCAATTTTCTTATAACTGTTAGCTTTCCTGGATATCCAAAGTGAGTCATGCATTTGCTCCTCTGGCGAGATGAGAACCTTTAATTTATTTATAATAGATTCCGAGAAGCTTGACGGTTCCCTGTACTAGATGCCAATAGAACTACATTGTTCAATGGAAGAAACATCTGGAAGTCTGAAAATCGAGCATAATCGGTTTTAATTTATATGAAAATTCATATAATCAAGAGGTTCTAAAGTGCCGTCTGTCGAATGTATATAGGCATACACACTAGATGGCAATGACCGTTCCAACCAGAGTTGATGTGGGAGCTTGTGCTGACACCTGTGTCGACAGAGCCACATCTAATTTAAATATGAAATATCATCAATTTATTAAACGGTAAAATCTACCTAAATGTCATTGGTCAAAGAGAACCACTTTTTGAGACACACAGGACTTACATAATGACAGTGATCAATGACTTATTTTAAAGTGTATCTCCTCAGGGATAGTGGAGTGAAGATTCTCTCTTCCCTGGATGAAATCCAGATTCAACTCGAGGATCATATAGTAAAAACAATGACTATGCGAGGCTCTCCTTTCATCAAACCCTTGGAAGGATCAATATTGGAATGGGAAGGGATGCTCCTCCGTATTCAAAGTACAATCGACGAGTGGCTCAAGATTCAAGCGCAGTGGCTGTACTTGGAACCCATCTTCAGCTCTCAAGATATCATGCTTCAGATGCCCGAAGAAGCTGCCATGTTCAAGGTCTTTTCAGTTTCTGACCGGCTTATTCTGGCTTATTTCACCTAATTTTTTTTTTATGCATTTGAGCTGAGTTGTTCTGACAATGAATGACGGGATGTCAACACAGGAAGTTGATGCTACGTGGGGACGAGTGATGAGCCTGCTAGACACAGACAGAAGCGTCATGAACGTGGCCGGCAAAGAAGGGACCATGGAGGAGTTGAAGAAAGCCAATAGTCTGCTGGATCTTGTCAATAAAGGCCTCAATGCCTACCTCGAAAAGAAGAGACTCTTCTTCCCTAGGTATCTTCCTGCTGCATCTCGAAGCATTCGTACTGTGTTGAGTCGTGTCTACTGTCTCAACGGGCGAGGTTTTCTTGTTCCTCCTCAGGTTCTTCTTCCTATCAAACGACGAGATGTTGGAGATCCTATCGGAGACAAAGGACCCGATGCGGGTGCAGCCACATCTGAAGAAATGCTTCGAAGGGATCAGTTCTCTAGATTTCGACGCTGCCCTGGACATCCAAGCCATGCTGAGCCAGGAAGGGGAAAGGGTTGAGTTCTCACGGGCCATCTCCACTGCTGAGGCCAGGGGTGCCGTCGAGAAATGGCTCGTTCAGGTTCCTCATTCCTCTTTCCCCTCGCTTCCAGCCGACTCTACGCCAGCGATTGGTGATGAATGGCTTCTAATGACCCAGGTGGAGGAGGTGATGGTCCAGTCCGTGCACGACGTGATCGGGGCTGCTCGGGAGGCCTACACAAAGGAGCCGAGGACGGAATGGGTCCTTCATTGGCCCGGTCAGGTTGTCCTTTGTGTCTCTCAGATATACTGGACACAAGAAGTCCATGAGGCCATCCAGGGTGGTACTCGAGGTCTCAAAGAGTTTTACAACAAATCTCAAGTACTCCTCAAGCTTATTTTCGATGTTTCTCCCCCACAAGTCTCCAGTCTCATGGATCGTTTTGCTCTGTCCCTCTAGATGCAGTTGAGGGAGATAGTGAATCTGGTGAGAGGAAAATTGACACCCTTGCATCAGCTGAGTCTTCAGGCTTTCGTCGTCATCGATGTCCATGCGAAGGATGTCGTCGCGGACCTGGTTGAAAAGGGTGTGTCGTCTGAAGATGACTTCCATTGGCTCTCGCAACTTAGGTCCGAGAAAACTTCGTGATTACCACTTCCCTTTGCAACTCGCATCCATGGTAATAGAGAGAGGAGGGTTATCCGTTGTTCAGGTATTATTGGGAAGGTGAGGAGGTGCGAGTGCGTATCACTAATGCCACGGTAGCGTATGCGTATGAATACCTGGGCAACACGTCTCGTCTCGTCATCACGCCTCTCACGGACCGGTGCTATCGGACTCTCATCGGAGCCTTTCACCTTCATTTGAATGGAGCCCCAGAAGGCCCAGCTGGAACTGGGAAGACGGAGACGACCAAGGATCTTGCCAAGGCCTTGGCCGTTCAATGTGTGGTCTTCAACTGCTCCGACGGCCTCGATTATATCGCCATGGGCAAGGTGTGAACTGTGAAAACTCCACAATAAGTCTTCAGACCCAATGTGGGGTGTTCTGTCTTTCGTCGACAGAACGCAATTACTCGTTTCCGATATTCTGTTGTTTTTCTGTCCAGTTCTTCAAGGGGTTAGCATCTTCCGGCGCCTGGGCTTGCTTCGACGAGTTCAACAGGATCGAACTGGAAGTCCTATCCGTAGTCGCCCAGCAGATTTTGTCCATCATTCGAGCCGTTCAAGCTAACGTCAACAGTTTCAGTTTCGAGGGAACTGAGCTGAAACTGAATCCCAACTGTTATGTCTGCATCACGATGAATCCTGGATATGCCGGACGGTCCGAACTCCCGGATAATCTCAAAGTGAGATTTTTCATATCATTGTCGTTCAGGTTTATTGAACTTATCCTTTTTCTCGTTTCGACTGATGGCTGTGGGTGTCATTCGTTTTCAGGTCTTGTTCAGAACCGTGGCCATGATGGTGCCAGATTACGCCATGATCGCTGAGATTTCCCTCTATTCGTGTGGCTTCGTCGAGGCAAGGAGCCTCGCAGTGAAGATCGTCACCACGTATCGTCTCTGCTCTGAACAGCTTTCTTCCCAGTGTCATTATGACTACGGTCCGAATTTTCCTCTGTTTCATTTCGACAAGATTTTTCTTATACCTGAATCAATCCATGATCCCATTACCTTTTAGGCATGAGAGCCGTGAAGGCGGTACTTCTCGCAGCGGGGAATCTGAAGCAAAAGTTCCCAGAGGAGAGGGAAGACATTCTCGTTCTTCGATCCATCATGGACGTGAATCTCCCAAAATTTCTCTCTCATGACATCCCTCTGTTCGAGGGCATCATATCTGATCTCTTCCCTGACGTTTCCCTCCCAGAAGCCGATTATGCTTCCTTCCTTCAGTGTGCCAAAGAGGTTTGATAACCGTTACTCCCATTTGGTCACATTATTTTGTTATCGTAAGATTTTCCCCCCGCTTCTTCGGATGGTATTCCAGGTATGTAAAGCAAAGAACCTGCAAGCTGTAGACCCCTTCCTTCAAAAGATCATCCAAGTGTACGAGATGATGATAGTGAGGCATGGATTCATGCTGGTCGGGGATCCATATGGAGGGAAGACTGCTGTCTTACAGGTCGAGAGAATAACAAGGATTTAATTCACCTATGCTATGGCTTCGCTGAATTTGAAGTCGATTCTCGTCTTAGGTTCTGGCTGCCACTCTCACACTCTACAGTGAAAAGGGCTTTCCGGAAAAACCCGTGGAGTATGAGATCATCAACCCCAAGTCCATCACTATCGGCCAGCTCTACGGCAAATTCGATGACATCTCTCACGAATGGACTGATGGAGTCTTGGCCACAGCGTTCAGGTTCGTCTTGAATCCTCTGGAAAGTCAAGAATCAGAGTTTGGTTTGCAAGAAAAGGACTATATATCCCTCGGTTTGACGGAAACTGACCGGCAGGAATTTTGCTACGAGCGAGAAGGAGACTCGGAAATGGATCATCCTCGACGGACCCGTGGACGCGGTGTGGATAGAAAACATGAACACGGTGCTGGACGACAACAAGAAGCTCTGTCTCATGTCTGGAGAGATCATATCCCTCACCTCTTCCATGAGCGTCATTTTCGAAGTCATGGATCTGTCTCAGGTGAGGATGAGCTTATCGGCTAAAGCGACATGCCCGTACAGGATCATAAATATTCAATAAATAAAAATCTTCCCACCCTTTGCCAGGCATCTCCAGCGACAGTCTCACGTTGCGGGATGATATATTTCGAGCCAGCTCGAATGGGCTGCTTCCCAATGGTCGACTCCTGGCTGTCCACCTTAGATCCCCTTTGGGCAGAGAACCAGAGCTCTCTCATTCGGGATATGATCTCTTGGCTTCTCCCTCCAAGCTTGACTTTCATCCGCAAGTACGGCAAGGAAGTCATCCCGTCGAACTCGACTAACCTGGCAAAGTTTGTTGGCTCCGTATTCATTGTAGTGCCATAGTTGTAGCTCATCGTGTCACACCCAACGGGAGGAAAAATCCTTTGCAGTGCTAAATTCTACTGAAACAGAAATTGTAAAATGATTTCATACAGTTACAATAGGTACGAAAAACACGCTGATTCAATAAAAGTCCAGTCAAATATATATGGGGTGAAAGGTATCAACTTTCTTTGGGATTTGTTGAAGGGTATCAATGAAACGGGGTGACCGAAAATAAAGCACCCATTAAAATATTCACTTCTCGGGCTAAGTCAAGGAGGTTCTAATCCGGGAGACGCTAATAAATGCGTGGTGCTATGGAACAGGGTTTCATCGGTAGTGGGACTATTCTTCGGATGAAGAGTTTCACGCGGAAGTACTCCATGAAAAGCTAAATTTAAAAAAAACATAATACTGAAATGAGTTATAAACGTACTAACTTATTGTGATGCTATGTCGCAAACTGAAAGTAAATCAAGGACGTATACGAGTCATCATGAGATGTCCGAGAAATAAAGAGGCTTTTGCGTTGTGTCCTTTCGAATGAAATGAGATTCACGAAGACTTCGTGGAGTTACGATGATCCTATGTTATCACAAAACCGTGTTTCCAATGCTACGGGGGGGGACACAACTTTTTCCTCTCCCCCTGCTGTCAAAAGCGTTTCAGCTGCTGAGCTATGTTGGATATGATGTGAAAGCATAATTAATTTGAGGTCGTTTCTGGTTCTTAAGGTATCAAAATGGCTAGAACTTCGGAGAGTGAGAAGCAGAAAGTGATGGTTAGAATCAAATTTGTCGCAATTCATGAGGTTCAAGATACTGGCGCTGAATTTATCATAAATGGCTGGATTGCCAAGACACTCGGAATATCTGTGAGGTAGGGTCCAAAAACATGGAAGAAATGAGCAAATGAATGCTAAACTGATAGGGGAACCGTCCGAAAGGTGATCTTAACTTTTCGAGAGGTGCGTGAATCTTATCTCAGGTTCAGCATTGTAACTGCAGGAATTCACATTGACTTTTACCTAATATAATGGGGCTAAACTCGACCCTAGGCACTCCAAGTTTCTTGAGGTTGTGGGGAGAGCGGGTGGTGGAAAGTGGTTTCCCCCCTTCCCTCTGAATTTTGGGAAGAATAGCGAAAGTCCCCTTTCCCTCAGCTTGCTAAGTCGCCCCCCCCCCTTCTGCTCGAGAACAAGGCGAGTCGAGGATTTTATTTTCCCACGATCTGTCGGAACCTATTGACTGGAAAACTTAATTTATGCTCCACACATTCAAAGATGGGGAACGGAATTGCAACAAGAGGCTAGGAGCAGTTGAAGGAAGTCTTCATAATGTATTGGGCTATTCTGAACATTTTAAATACCAGATCACTGATGGATCTAACCCAAATGGTGATGACCACGGCAATCAAGAATGCTCTCGAGAATCGGGACCCGAAAGAGAGAGAATACGGGAAGCATTTGAGAGCCTGGATTCAGGCGTCTCTCCTCTTCTCCCTTGCTTGGTCTGCTGGCGGACTCCTTAATTCCGACTCTCGCAACAAGTTTGATTCCTTCCTTCGAGAACTTCTTTCCGGTTAGAGCTATGATTGAGATCTTGGGGGCATTACTCTTTTTTATGCATATGGAATGATAATTAAAAAAAATACGGATGCATAATTAGGGAAAATGGACGGTCACCGGACACCTGAGACAATTGGAAAGTTGGAATGTTCCTACCCCTCCGAGGGCGTCATCTTCGACTTCTTTTACGAGTTTCGACAACGAGGGTCATGGAAGCCGTGGAATGAGCTCATCAAGAACGCCGAGATCCCAGAGAACAAAAACATTAGAGAGATCATAGTACCTACGGTGGACACTGCCAAGTGAGGGTCGCCTGTTTTCTCTTAAATACGTTATTCATCCAATATATTTTAAATGCTCACGCATGCCTACATATTCAGGTATCAGTATCTCATGGACCTCTGCATTGAATACAAGAAACCTCTGTTGATTGTCGGTCCAACGGGGACAGGAAAAAGTACTTACATCCAAGATAAACTTCTCAATGGAATATCTAAGGATAAGTATATGCCTCATTTCATCACCTTCTCTGCGCAGACCACGGCGAATCAAACTCAGGTCAGTTCAGTCCAAATAAAGAGTTCTTTCTGTTGTAGGAGCCTTCCTCTGGAAGCGAAGAGGCTCTCACTAGTATCAGTCTTCTGGAGGAGTTTTTTTTATCGACAAAATCTTAAACTTTTTCGCTTTTATCATAAACGCTGGGATGTACCCTTATTGTGCATGATTCAGGATGATATCGGATACCTTGAAATCGTGGTGAAAGCTCATTCTTCAAACTCCATTTTTATCCCTGGATTTGTTTTCTCGTTGGAATCTACAGGATTTGATCATGCTGAAGTTGGAAAAGCGTGGCCGAGGACATTACGGTCCTCCGGCAGGGAAGAGGTGCATCATCTTCATCGATGATATCAATATCCCCGCCAAGGAGGAATACGGAGCTCAACCACCAATCGAGCTCCTCCGTCAATATCTGGATCATGGGCACTGGTAGGTGGGAACCACCGCAACTCCCGAGTGTCCTTGTCATGGAGATATAAGGAAATGATCCGTGCTTGACGATCAGGTTCGACAGGAAGGACACGTCCAAGTTATACATGCAGGATGTTCAATTCCTGGGAGCAATGGGACCTCCGGGCGGGAGTCGGAATCCCCTCAGCCCTCGATTCTCTCGCCATTTCTCCACCATCGCCATCAATCCCTTCTCGGATGAGACTATGACCCGCATTTTCAGCATCATCATGACCACTTACATGAAGGTGAGTCCCATTCCAACATCTCTCTCTTTTTCGTTCCTTATTGCTTGCGACTTCCTCTCTTACCTGTTCCAGGGGATGGAATTTCTGCCAGAGATGTTGGGGGTCGTGAATCCTTTGGTACAAGCTACAATGGATGTATATAAAGCTGCAATTACGACCCTCTTGCCTACTCCTGCCAAGTCGCATTACATCTTCAATTTGAGGGACTTCGCTCGCGTCATCCTAGGCTGTTGCTTGATACGGAAGGAGTCCGTAGAGAACAAACGAGTCTTCACCAAGTGAGCCTTTACATTTTTGCAATTCCAATGAAAGGAATGATGGTTAAAGATCATATTCTCCCCCTCACACTTTTTTTTGCAAGACTGTGGGTTCACGAGGTGCACAGGGTGCTCAATGACCGACTGATTGATGACGAGGATCGTGTCTGGCTCCACGATCTCCTCCGTGAAATGGTCCGCATCCACTTCAAAGAGAACTTTGACACCATTTTTGAATACCTTGGGAAAGAGAAGGGAAAGGTAAACAAAAGCTTTTCAATGCCTTCCATAAAATCCTTTCTTGGACGATCTCATACACCTCTGTGAGACGAAATCTTGCAGGTATGCGAGCACCACATGCATGGATTGATGTTTGGCGATTACTTAAACCCCGATGCCCTGCCCGAGGAGCGAAAATATGAAGAAGTCACGGATTTGGAGGATTTCCAGAGAGTGGTACATGTGTCCATGGAGGAATATAATAATACCCATAAATCACACATGGATCTTGTAATATTCCGGTATGTATCCTGAATGCAGGGAAGGTTTTTATTTTAATTCCTTGTAACTTTAGAGTTTCACGGTGGATTTTCAGGTACGTCCTGGAACATCTGTCTCGCATTTGCCGAGTGTTCTGCATACCAGGAGGTCACGCTCTCCTCGTCGGAGTCGGGGGATCAGGTCGACAGAGTCTCACTCGTCTTGCTGCCCACATGGCCGGCTATTCTCTGTTTCAACCGGAAATTACAAAAAATTTTGGTATCAGTTCACTTGACCAGCTGCTTTTTCATGAGCTACCTTCAGTGTGGCACTGTTGTGCGGGGTGACAATATGGATCTTGTGTCTTCGAAATTTATTTATTATTTATTTAGGGAAGCAAGATTGGCAGAACACTCTGAAGGCGGTGTTGAGATGTGCAGGGGCTCAGGGGAAAAGATCCGTCTTCCTCCTCAATGATAATCAGATCAAGGATGAGTCCATGCTCGAGGACATCGATGCCCTACTCAATTCAGGGGAAGTGCCCAACCTCTTCCAACCCGATGAAAAGGGTGAAGTCATGGAGGTTTGTTGGATATGTCAGAAAAACGCAGCTAATTCATCGCGTGCTTAATGGCATATCACTCCTATTCCTGTTTTTATCACTGGCAGGCAGTCAGATCATACGCTCAAAGTCTAACTGGGAATAGACACGCCGAATTCACGCATTTGGAGCTTTTCGCTCATTTTGTGGCTCGATGTCGAGAGAATTTACACATTGTGATAGCTTTCAGTCCCATCGGATCTGCCTTCCGGAACCGCCTTCGCCAGTTTCCTTCCTTGATCAACTGTTGTACCATCGACTGGTTCCAGGTATTTCTTTCAATTCTATCCTGGTACCTTCGATAGCTGCCTCTGACTTCGATCCGTTTCGGCCTGATGTTATAGCCTTGGCCAGAGGAAGCTCTTGAGAGGGTAGGAAAGAAATTCCTGGAATCGGTGGATTTACCAGTAAATCTGAAGCCTCAGGTCATCGACTGTTGCAAGTACTTCCACACCAGCGCCAGGTTTTTCCTGAATTCTCTACGTATATCCTGTCGATTCACCCCTGGAGGCTCTTTAACATTGATATATGCAACCTGCTAGGGATTTGTCGAAGCGGTTCTATGCCGAGGTGAAGCGGCATGTGTATGTCACGCCGGCCTTTTACCTGGAACTACTTTCCTCCTTCAAGAGCCTAATCAATGAGAAGCAATCAGAAACGATCGCGGCGCGCCAGAGATACATGGGTGGACTGCACAAACTGGACTTTGCAGCACAGCAGGTCTGTAAGCCATCCATTCATCTCGTCAAAGAAGTCTGTCTCGCTATCGGTCCTTCCTGAACCCCCCCATGAAGATAGTGGCGATGCAAGCGGAGCAGGCAGCTCGGCAACCCCAGTTGGCCGAGATGGTGACGAGCACGAAGGAAATGGTGGAGAGGATCCAGCACGAGAGCCAAGAAGTGGAACGGGTGACCGGGATCGTGAGGGCGGAGGAAGCCGTCGCCAATAACCAGGCCGCCCAGGCCCTCGCCCTCAAAGACGAATGTCAAGCTGACCTAGCTCAGGTCATCCCTATCCTCGAGCGTAAGCCAGCCATCTATCGTATCAATTTTTCCATCTCGTCGAGGGATCATCGTCTGATTGAGAGGGTCTTACTCCGCAAAACAGAGGCGAACAGGGCGCTGGAGACACTGAAGCCATCCGAACTGACGGTGGTGAAGTCCATGAAAAATCCCCCGAAAGCGGTGAAGCAGGTCCTTGCAGCCGTCTGCGTGATGCAGGGAGAGCCCCCAGAGAAGATCACCGATCAGCGCACGGGCAAGAAGGTTCAACTTTACACTCGATCATTAACTTTCAACGACTAGTGGATGTTCGACATGAACTCTACCTCTTCTCCACATTCCCAGGTGCTTGACTACTGGGCTCCAAGTCTGAAGTTGCTTAGCGATATCCGGCTAATGGAGACCCTGAAACAGACGAGTGAAGAGCTGAAAAATAATACTTTGCCTGCCGATCGGATCCAGAAAATTCGTAAAGATTTCAACATCCCAAAAAATCCTGATCTGCAGCCACATATTGTGGCCAAGGCTTCTCAGGCCGCAAAGGGGCTCTGTGAGTGGATTCTGGCCATGGAGGCATACGAACGCGTCGCAAAGGTCCGCTCCCAGTTAAAAAAAAAAAAGAGGTTAAACAGCTCCAACGCCTTCTCGTTGATTTCACCAGTTATACAATGGTCCCTTCACTCGCAGATTGTAAGACCAAAGCAGGAGAGCTTGAAAGAAGCAGAAGAGAAGTTGGCACAGACACAGGAGATCTTGGAGCAGAAGAGGGCAGCCCTGCGGAAAGTGGAATTGGAATTGGCGGAACTTCAACTTCAGCTGGAACAGCAGCAGGAGCAGACGAGGCAGCTTCAAGCTGAGATGGAGATGTGTGCTGTGAAGTTGGATCGAGCCCAAAAGCTCATTGGGGGCCTGGGCGGAGAGAAGCACCGATGGACGGGAGCTGCTGCTCTCTTGAAGAAAGTCTATGACTCCCTCGCCGGGGATATTCTTCTCTCGGCTGCCATCATCGCCTATCTCGGGCCTTACACGTCTTCCTTCAGGTCTGTGGAAATCTCATCCTTCTGTGAAATTTCCTTCGATATTCTACCCACCTTCCTGGATCTAAGGAGAATCTCGAATTCTATTCCGTTTAGGAGTTCCTGCACAGACGATTGGCTTGAAATGTGCAAGAAAAGCAACATTCCCTGCTCGGCGGAATTCAACCTCAGCGCAACTCTTGGAAATCCACTGAAAATTCAGAACTGGAATTCCGCCGGTCTTCCCAAGGATGCCTTCTCTATCGACAATGCCATCATTATTCATAACGCCCGACGGTAATAAGTCCCCTCACTCTCCTGTCACGTTGACCGAATTCTCTCTCACACATTGGTTACCGCAGGTGGCCCCTAATCATCGATCCTCAAGGGCAAGCTAACAGATGGATCAAGAACATGGAAAGGGAGAATCAGTTGTCTGTAGTCGGCTTGAATCACGCGGAATTCACACGAATCCTGGAAACGTGTATCCAACTGGGTAAACCCTTGCTGATCGAGAATGTGGGAGAAGATATCGACCCATCATTAGAACCTCTCCTACTCAGGGAAACTTTCAAGCAAAGTCAGTGAAAGTCTTTGCATTGTGTCAATCGAGACAGATGAAATGCGGGCATGATTTTGTCTCTCAGGCGGGATGGAAATGCTGCGTCTTGGAGATTCTTTGCTTGAATACAACGTCAAATTCAGGCTGTACATCACGACCAAGCTCCGGAATCCCCATTATCTGCCGGAACTTGCCACGAAGGTTACTCTTGTGAACTTCATGGTCACACCGGTGGGTCTCGAGGAGCAGTTGCTGAGCATGGTGGTGGCCAAAGAACGGTTTGCTTATATCGTTCATCATAAAACCTAATTCCTCCTCCTTTCGCTTTCCTCCGTCTTTATTGTATATGTGTATTCTTCAGGCCAGACCTGGAGTCAGGCCGGCAGAGTCTCATCACCCAGCAGGCAGCGAACACTCAAGCCCTGCAGGAGATCGAGGACAAAATCCTTCACACCCTCACTACTTCACAGGGAGATATACTGGAGGATGAAACTGCTGTTCAGATACTCAATTCCTCCAAAGTATGGGAAGCTCTTAGGTTAAATTCGATTGACTGAAAGGCGAACGATGACAAAAACACATTTTTCTATCACAGGTGCTGTCAGACGAAATCACACGGAAGCAGGAAGTCGCCCGGGAAACGGAAGTGAAAATAGAGGAATCTCGACAAGCATACCGTCCTGTGGCCAAGCATTCCGCCACTCTTTTCTTTGCCATCACCGACCTGCCGAATATCGATCCCATGTACCAATATTCCCTCAATTGGTTCATAGCTCTCTTCGTTTCGTCTATCGAGAACAGGTGAGTCCAGTTGCTGGCTCTCATCTCAGAGCAGTTTCTCGATCGAGGTTTCATGACCATCAATCGTGCTTGCCAGCAACAAGTCTAAAATCTTGGATAAGAGGTTGCACTACCTGCGAGACCATTTCACGTACAACCTCTACAGCAACGTGTGTCGATCTCTCTTCGAAAAAGACAAGCTCCTGTTCTCCTTCCTTCTATGTACCAGCCTTCTCTTGTCAGTTTCAAACTCTTCCCATACAATTTCCTTGGATCGGACCTAGTATTTGTTACTGTTACGACTACCAATGCAGAGAGAAGCAGTCCCTGAGGAGGCAGGAATTCATTTTCTTTCTCACCGGCGGAGTCGGACTTGAGAAGACAATGCCAAATCCTGCATCTGGTTGGCTCCTGGACAAGTCCTGGGAAGAAATGTGTCGAATGGGGACTCTCCCGCACTTCGAAGGTTCCTTCTCTCGATTCCCTCGTTTTAAAGACCAGGTAGGGGAGGATGAAAGGGATTCAGCTCTATGGTATCTCTTCAGGCTTTGTGGACTCTTTTGCGGACAACATCGACTCATGGAAGGAGGTGTACGAGAGTAAGGAGCCTCATACGGCAAAAATGCCTCGTCCGTGGGATGATAAATTGACACCATTTCAGAAAATGATCGTTATCCGATGTCTCAGGCCAGACAAGGTTCATCCTCTTTCCTGGTTCCAGTTTATTTTAATTAGAGCCTTTCGTGTTCATGAAAGGAAGAGCAAAATAATTTTTCATGCAGGCGGTACCCATGGTGACCCAATTCGTGTCGACGCACTTGGGTCCAAAATTCACTCACCCGCCGCCTTTCGACCTGGTCAAGTCGTATGCAGATTCTTCCGCCACGATCCCTTTGATTTTCATTCTTTCAACCGGGGCGGATCCCATGTCGGCTCTTCTTCTATTTGCTGAAGATATGGGCTTTGACTCGGAAAAATTTCATTCTATCTCCCTCGGTCAAGGCCAGGTGAGCCTCTATTATCCTCTGAGTAAAGGAAATCACCACAAGAAAGGGTTATGGAGCATGGGGTTAAGTCTTACTTGGGCCTCCTATGTGCAGGGTCCAATAGCGGAAGAGTTGATCGCTTCAGCTCGTCAGGAAGGAAATTGGGTCGTTCTTCAAAACTGCCATCTTGCCATTTCATGGATGTCAACCCTTGAGAAGATTTGCGAGGATCTCCCGGCTGAGAATGTGAATCCATCCTTCCGCCTCTGGCTTACTTCTTATCCGTCTGACAAGGTGCCTGCAGTCCTATTCCCGTACCATAGCTCTAGAAACTAATTCCCTAGTTTTAAGGTATTTCAGGGTGTCCTAGGATAGTTTTTAGGTAAATGAAATTTCCGAGTAACTTGGGGTAACTCGAGTATGCCTTCCATAGGATATAAATATTGGATGAAATATAATTAAAAGGGAATTTCCACATATAACTTGCGACATGATAGCCTCTTGGGCAGTAACATATTTCTTAAACGTCTAGTTCATAAGTATTTCGATTCGTGTGGATTTCTTGAGTTTCACAGGACCATACTTCTCTGACATGTGGTTCCGTCTGATAGAGTGATTCTATACTGATTTAAAGGTATTGGAAGGGATTAAAAGTGGAAACATTGATTGATGTGATGTCCTGTTTGACGCCTCGTCTAAGCAGACAATTCTTGTTCTTTTTCAGTTCCCAGTGACGGTGCTGCAGAACAGCGTGAAGATGACGAACGAGCCGCCGACAGGATTGCGGAACAATCTCCTCCAGTCCTTCCAAGGACCTCCGATCAACGCGGAGGGATTCCTCTCTTCCTGTCCAGGGAAGGAAGGCACGTTTGCCAAACTTCTTTTCTCCCTTTGCTTCTTCCACGCTCTTGTTCAAGAAAGGCGGAAATTTGGCCCCATCGGCTTCAACATCCCGTACGGATTCAATCAGTCCGACTTGCACATCTCCATCCAGCAGCTGCAGGTAGGCTCAATGGCAGAAACGTCTACTTGTCTTATGTCCATGAACGCTTTCATGCGCGCTTGCATGGGGACAGATGTACATCATTGAATATGCCGAGGTGCCATACGATGCCATCACGTACATGACTGGGGAATGTAATTACGGAGGGAGGGTGACAGACGATTGGGACCGTCGGACTCTTCTCACCATTCTGGAGGACTTCTACAATCCGAACGTCGTGTCTCAACCCAAGTATCTCCTTTCCCCATCTGGCTCTTACTTCGTGCCCAACAAGTCCTCTCACGAGGACTTTATCGACTACATCAGGGTAAAGGAAACATCGAGTGTCGTTCACCGCTCATTTCTCCATGTTCGCTCGTTTCGTCTTTCTATTACGTTTTATGCTTTCCCATCATTCTGGGTCTTGCCGAACTTTTACAAATTTAACACGACTAGAAAGTTTCCTTCTAAGCCTATGACCGTGCGCTTTCTTTTTAGAAGAGATGCAATTTGCTTTCGTGTCGCTTGAGAGGAGTAGGTAAAATGCAAAGCATAAGCATGTGGTAAGATTAGAAAATTCAATGGAGGGTCGTGCAAATAATCGAACTTAATCTGTCGTTCCAAAGACCGTCATAAAATCATTCGTAATAGCAAGAATGAATATTGCGACTAGACATAACCCATTCGATTGTAGTCCGAGTTTGCGACGTGGGTTTTGGCTCTCTGATAGAACTTGCCAGCGAGTCAAGAGCCGGAGGTATTTGGCCTCCACGAGAACGTGGATCTCCGGAAAGCTTTGGCAGAGACAAAGCTTCTTCTCGATTCCGTGCTATCGGTTCAAGGTCGTGGAGGGGGAAGTTCAGAAGCGGAAGACGAAGATGAGTCCGCTCTTCATAAGATAGCCACGGAGATCCTTGCGAGACTGCCGCCAGATTTCGACCTGGAGGCGGCTCAGGCCAAGTATCCCGTGTCTTACGCAGAATCCATGAACGTCGTCCTCGTTCAAGAAATGGCCCGCTTCAATGGACTACTGGACGTCATCCGGTCATCCCTGCAACAAATTCAGCGTGCTGTCAAGGGTCTCATCGTCATGAATGAGGACTTGGAAACACTGGCATCTCAGCTCCTGCTGGGGAAGGTCCCGCACTTTTGGATGAAGGCTTCGTATCCTTCCCTCAAGCCTTTGGGCAGCTACATTACGGATTTTCTCGAGAGGCTTCACTTCCTCATGGTACACGTTTCCTCCCTTCAGCTAACCCCAGGATTGCATGGCATGAAGGTGTCAAAGAAAGTTGCGTCTTTTTCAGACGTGGTACAAGAAAGGGAAACCGAGTGTGTTTTGGTTATCGGGCTTCTACTTCACGCAAGCCTTCTTGACTGGAGCCCTGCAGAATTATGCTCGGAAGCACAAGATCCCGATCGATCACCTGACCTTGGATTACACGGTTATCGAGTTGGAAGGAGTGGTGACTCCTCCCGAAGATGGAGTCTACATTTCCGGTCTCTTCCTTGATGGGGCTCGGTGGGACAGGGAAAAGTGAGGAGACTCTTTTAATATCCATTCACGTTCCTTCTTGTTCCGAGGTTTTTCAGTAAGATTGAGACCCAATTGCAGGAGTGTGTTGAGCGAGCAACTTCCCCGGGTCCTCTACGATACGATGCCCATCATTTGGTTTCGGCCCCTGCTGAGGTCGGAATTGGAAGAAGGGTCCCGTTACGTGTGTCCCCTATATCGAACGTCAGAGAGGAAAGGGACATTGTCCACCACGGGGCATTCCACCAATTTCGTTCTCTCCATGCTTCTGCCCACTTCCCCTCAAGTTCCACGGAGACACTGGGTCAAGCGAGGTCTCGCTCTCCTCTGTCAGCTGGATGATTGAAACCATCCCTTCACTGAATAGGTAATAGAAATAATGTTCCTCGGGATGCTCTTGAGTAGAAATGGGGAAAACTTATCTGAGTATTTTCCAGATATATGTTCGTCGAATACAGATACATACCTGAATATTTAATACTTGAAATTCATTCATCTATCGGTATGCTTTTTTTTTCGGTTCTTCAGAGATCAGTAATTCTCAAGTACTTTTATATGCGAATACTCTTTGACTATTATCAATCATGGCCTTGGTCTAAAGACCGTCACACAAAACTTAACGGTCTATGATTTCAACCATAGGCTTACTCTAATCCTTCATTTCAGTGCTTTGGGATATCGAACGGAGACGGCCTCGACGTCATGGAAGTAGCCATCGGAAAGTGTATGCGAAAATTTTACTTCTGGAGTTTTGAAACGAAGAAACTGGAACGATTTGGTCATTTTTCATTATTGTGAGATGACGAAATTCACGAATGTACTTTCGGATAATAAAAAATAAATAAACCGGTCTGATATCAACGAAGCACGAGGAGGAGAATGAGACGGGCTACGAAAACTACTAGGGTCGGGGTCTCTTAGATCCACTGTTTATATGCATCTCTCTGCCTTCTCTGTCGATTCCATAGTGAAATCGAAAGATTCACTTCACTGCGTTGCGAGAAATCCACAGGGTGCCTGAGTGCATGAATAGTCACTCAACCTGAGCAATACACTTCATGGTACTTTGCATGATGTAGCACACACAGAAAATTCAGTCGACTTTGACTCCTGGAACTTAACTATTTATTCTTATCAGGAAGGAATATAAATATTTATCAAATATTCATAAATATGAGGAACTCAGATATGTCACCAAACTCTGAGCAGTTCCCACATCTGGGTTTCAAAACAATATTAGACCATCACCGGTATGGTTCAACAGGGAATAGACAACATAAGATGACTCCATCATACAAAGATAAATAACATGCAAAATGCCCCCCATTTCATTTTCTCACAAAGTCCCAAGGAATGAGTAACAACCAAAGGGACAACTGATGAAGCTCAGACAGTAACCAGTCAAGACACAAACAGATCAACACAGAACAATACTGCCAAGGTAGACTTAGAGTCACTGGTCTTTGGTTTGTAATTATATAAAAAGCAATGTTAATGGGCAAATGCTCAGAAATGACCCAAAAATGCAAATATGAGGTATAAGCCCCTTGGAAAGGCAAGAATTCAATATACATAATTTTGCAATAATAAATACAGGCATAGATACGACTCTGAACTATTGATTGCATTCCAGCAACACAAGACAGATTTTAAAATTAATAAATATCAAAGAAAACTTTAATAAAATAACTTAGTGACTTAATCTTCACCCTAAGGCACAAACTTAAAAAACATCAGGCATTATTCATGCACATGACACATCAGGTGAGGCAATGACCACAAGAGAAGATATTCTCCAAGGTGTCTAAATTGTTCAAAATTGCTGGATAGGAATTGTCTTACATTGGAAATGCTCAATGAATGATTTGCATAGTATGCCTATGCCAAATCATAAATGTTTATACAAAAACTTTTAAGAAGTCCTATTCATGACATGCAGTACCTATCAGACACTAATGGTTCAAAACTGTAAATGCAAGGTATCTGAAGATTTGATTTTAATTTAGGAGAGTCCTAGGTCAACATGATAAGGCACAAGCAAGTTGTAAATGCTCTCAATAAATTCTAAGGAATCAATCAGGATATGTATATCTCATTTCTCCAGGATGATGAGGTACTGATGGTTGGAAAGCAACTAGTTTGAGCAATGCTGCATACAGACCATGTCTGTCAACACTTCAGAGCAAGAGAGAGCCACTAGAAGGAAAAAGAAAGACAGAAAATAAGAATAGAGACCCAAAAATACTATAGTCAGGTGATCAAAACAGATTTGAAAAAAGATATCCATCTCACCTCTGCTAGGCCAAGCTTCATGTTACTGGTCATTGTTGAACTTTTCTTCTCAAAGAGACCTGAAAAGAGAATGCCAGAAGCAATAATTTAGTTCCAACTCCAAGGGTTCAGTGGGGTTAAGCAAATGTTGAAAACTCACGGAATGCTATGCTGAGGTGCAGAACAGCTGACACAAAGTCCCCAAATCTGAGAGTCCCATCCTTCCTCATGTAACGGAGAATCAGCACAGAAATGATGTCACTGCTAAGCTGATATCCTACAGTGAATAAAAATTATAAAGGAAAAGGTCCTTTAAAAGATGCACTGGTGAATACTGGTATTTCGGGAAAAGATGCAAGATGAGCAATGCTATATAACTGACCCACATCGAGAAGAGCATCCCTAAGTCGTTCTGCTCGGAGGATCCCAAGCTTCTCTTTTGTATGACTGCGAAAAGCATTCTGCCAAAACTTGAGGCTCACTAAGAAATCCTTGAAGTCTGGGAAAGACAGTCGACCTTGGCCATCACTCTGTATACTCCAAGTTAAGAAAGTCCAGGTACAAATACACCATACACAAATGATTGCCAACAATTGCTGTCTAATCCTCTTTAGCATGGACTACAAGATTTGAACATGATACAAGATTATCCAGCAATCCTGCTGCTGACATCCTGCAACCTTCATTAGGTTTATAAATGCCAGCTGCAACTGTATATGAATGATTGATGTGTACAGATTGATCTATACAGTGTTTGATGCAAAGATGATGGAACACATCTCAGAAAGGTTTGGGTACCTACATATGCCATTGCAGACCCTGCAGCCTGCTCAATTGGCAGTGGGCCTCATTTCCTGAAAGGAAAGAGACCACTTATGGTCCTGCCCTGTCTGCTTGTGTGCTTGTGAGTGCACTTTGGTTGTCCAATGATAACTAAGAAAATATTGGTCTGACCAATGGGGAAATTGGCAAACAGGTAGATATGAACAAGAAACAGGCCAAGTTTGTTTTGTGGCAAATTTGCACTAAAATTGGCTCTTTTTTCAAATTTTGGATTTGAAACTTCATCACAGAGGGGAAGGCATGAGTACCCATGAGCCCTTCAGAACCTGGATCACAATGCATATGCATGTATGACCCAGGCCTTGGGCGCAGTGCCATGTTAGCAACCATAGCTGTCAGTTCCCTGCCAACCACCTCCATGGCAGATGGTTCCTAGCACACACAACTCTCCATTCTCCCATCATTTCACAGGCATGGGTAGATTTTCCAACATAACTGAAAAATGATGTTTTTGATGGACAAGGACTGAAAAGAGATGGCATTTAATTAGGTGACAAATCGTGGGTCTCCTTAAACGAAAGGAGACCCACTACTGAACTGGGCTTGCCCATCTTGTTTTTTATGTGAAATTCTGCCCATGACATCTTGCTTCTATTCCTCAAGTTTCACTGAACTGCAAATCAAAGTCTTCATGCAGAAGTGGCATAGAGCTGTCAGCCAACCATCTTGAATAGTGGTCAATCACCTTGTATAGTTTTGAGTCCCTTTCTCCCTTTCAGTATCAGAAATAGATAAGTTGCTGACATAATGAAAACAAGTAGGCAACATCAATGACTACAGAAGCGAACCACATGTAGGCAGCAGAGGAAGCTTTTGTATTACAATGAACACTTGTTAACACATTTGCTGCCAATGATGCACCTCATCATTATCCTTTCCATAGAGAAGTGTGCCATCGGCAGTGAATGTATTAAGCCACATTTATCACTGGTTTACCATATTCCTCTTTAAAGTTTGACAGGTAGAAATTGTGAGTTAAGGGGCCTCAAGTGTCCCCTCCCCCACTTTTCACCCAACTGCTATAATATTGAGCCCTCCCCTCTCAAAAATCCTGAAATATACTGGTTTTCACAAATCCAGAGCATCAAGCCCCCCAGTTAACATTTCTGGATTTGCCATTATTTCATAGTCCCTCATTTCTTTAATGCTCATCTTCATGACTACAAACTTGATCCATTCCCTGAATAAGCTGCATCAATAAAATCATGAGTTTCAGGGGGAAAAAAAAGGAGAGTGGCTCTTTGTTGAAGGTTTTGCATATGGATACTTTTTACTAGTTAATACCTTTACACAAATTTAACATGAGCATGGTTGTCAATGATTCAGGCTACATAGAAGTGCAACATTCAACATGGCTGAAATCCTACTCACATAACCCCATCCAATTGTATCTTCACTTGATCATGAAGAAGAAGAGAAAGAAAAGGATACGTCCAGGGAAATGATGACCTGACGACATACTTCCAAACTTGCACAGCTTTTCACATAGTCTGGTTTAAAAAACAAAAAAGGGTATGAAGAGCTCCAAGTCAATCATTCATCAAACATCCCAAATAAAATGAAATAAATAAAAAGAACACCAACCATTTGGCAAACAGGCTTCTAGAAGTTCTTGTAGTTCAAAAGCATTGACTGAACGATGTTCATCAGCAAGCTGCAGGAACACAGCCTCATACTGGTCAAACTCCTTTCCTCCAAGAGGGCCAGGAGCCTGGAAACCAAGACCGAGTAATGAACATGAGTTTGACTCTCATTCCATGAAAAAAAATCATCACATGACAGTGACAACCAAAAGTATTCACCTGGAGAATCACTGGACTAACCACTGCAGGCTGGATATCCAGAGGCCTATTTCATAATCAAAGTCATTAAAAACACACAAACAATGCTTTCCAATTAAAAATAATTATTAAATGACAAGAACAGGAACAAACCTGAACTTCACTGTTCGGTGGGAGTAAATGCGAAGGACAAAGGAAGCTTCTTGTCCAGGATCAAATGTAGTAGGAAGGAGAACATATGAACCAGGAGCTAAATGACATGAATTATTGAGGTGCCGACTGTTGGTATATTGTGAGGTAAATAGAGACTTGTGCTTGCGAAAGAACTCTTGTCCGAGTGCATTGGTGACTGGCTTGCTCAGAGTGTAGATAGTGAACCCAATGACTTTTGGCTCCATGATACTTCCTTGACTGAGGGAGATGATCACATCATCTGGGTCCTCACAAATGATCAACAACTGGGGGTTGATATGAAATGAGTCTGCAAGAGCATAAAGACTCTAAATGAGGGCTTCAGAAGCAGAGTAGTGAAACAAAGCCTATTTTCATTTTGAGAACATCTCCATACAAGTTTTTCCTACTGTGAATAAACCAAACAAAACTTTTTTTTAGCTTAATCACTTGGCATATGATACCTTTACTTATGGTCTGGCAATGATTTTTTGAGCACTTTGCCAAATGAACACCTGATTTTGCTGCATGAAAACCACAATGCCAACCATTAGTTGACCTCTGAATCAAGGTTCAGAATTTGCCAGACATTTCCATTTGATTGGTAAAAACCAGAAATAACAGAAAATAAAAACTTGTAAAATAGGAAGGTTGACTGATGAATAAATAAATAAAAAATTCCTTAACTCTTTGGGGTCTGAGTATTCTGAATGTATCTGCACTGTCATCAAAGTTTTTTCTATCCTCCATCATGAGGCCAACATAATGTAACTAGGGCACAAACCCCAAAAGGTTAATTCAAGGATAGTATAATTTTAAAGAATTTAAAAATGATATTCACAAATATCGATAATTTAAATGGAGTAAGTCAATGAAAATTCAACAGATTGAGAAAGGAGTAAAAAAAAAAGTATCATCTTCCTTCCCTCTTTGGCCTTCCTTGAATTATGCCAAAATGTGAAGTCTGAAGAACAGAGCTGGATATAAAATTTGATCAAATCCAGCAATTGCAAGCGCAGGCTGGTAAGTGACAGAATTCAGGATGGTCTCCTGAAAACTCAGTGCATTTATCCATCATGATATTTTAAGTCATAGTGAATTCAAATTGGCAAGTCTGAACACCTTAATGGATTCTACTTTGAGAAAGATTCTTAGAGTAGTAAGGGAAGGAACACTCAAACCTACCAACATCCTTGAGAAAAACTACCTAAACCAAAAAAGTTAACATGCAAATAAGCACCTTCTACTATTTATGCTCCTCCTGTTCAAGGTGTTTTCCAGATTAAGTACCTGCATTGCAGCATTGGATTAAAGGTCTCAATTGTAGTCATTGAGCACAAAACTTACAATTCACCATTGTCCTTGCTTTAGCAGTTTCTTGCAACCCAATTCGAAAGTATCCCACAATTAAGGAGCTCTCTGGAAAAAGGGCATAAGTGTCCATTTGCCCCTTTTCCATATACATATCCATGTGCTGCTTTAGGTGACTTATCATAGGATAGGGTGGTCAGCAGGTAATTAAGATGCATATTCAGCAAAGGAGAAGCAGATTTTCCTATGCTTTCAGTATATGACATGCCAACCACCTGACAATTTCAATATGGCTGCATCCATGAATATTCCATTAGCATCTGCATTGCTGAATGATTTTGATGGAATAATTCATTCTTTCCAGCTGAAAGTGAGAATGAGAAAGAAACCTGACAGGAGGAAAGGGAAAAAAGAGGCCTAGTCATCTAAGCCTCTGGAAGGGTTCAAGAAGTTGACAATATCCATCAAACAATTGGAGATTCAGATGATGAATAAAATTTGTCCTGAATATTCACATTTTTATTACCATTCTTTAAGGAAGAGTTGATTTGAAAATTGTATGTGCATTTATTAGTAAATTATTATTTTCAACTGTAAAGAAGTGGTGAAACATCGGCTGGAAAATGTTGCAGCAACGCAGATATGGAAAAAGGGCATATGTGCTAAACACTATCTGCCTGCATCCTTGCAATGTGAGATAAAGAAATTCATTAAAGTCCCAAGCTCAATTGGAATTAAAAATGAAGATCTAAGATACCATTTCACTGAAAACTGAGTATATACCAACTGCAGATTAGTTATGAGAAGCTTTTGCCATTCATCTCAAATTGCATCTTTTGCACAGTGCTCTTTTCTAGAGAACTCCTCAATTCAACTGTGCACTCCAGCACAGGATGGGCTAAATATATATGGCTGCCCTGGCTTCCTGGACAGAATTGCTCAAGCTATACTTGAGTCAAGCCAAAGACTATTTGTTTGGGCCACAGAGGCACTGCTATGTTCCTCCCAGTTCAGGGAGTTTTAGGTGAAGCTAGCCCTAACTGGGCTTTTTGGCAGTGACTTTATAGCTTCATATGTCCAACAGGCAGAAAGGAAGGGGGATGTTACCTTCTACTCCACAATTGGTTTTTAAGTGTAGATGAACAAGAACTTTTGAGGAGGGGAACAGAGGGTGAAATTGCTCTGCATGCTTCCAAGTCTAATAATTCACCAGAGATGAGGTTGGTTCTATTAACATTTTAAAAGCAAGTTTTTTGCATTTTTTCTAGTTTTTGCTCTCAAAAATCAATATAAAAAAAGGCTCTCACCACTGGAATTTACTAGTTCTGAACACTGCTATGAAATACTATTGCATAATAGTGCAAGACCCACCAGAGTGATTCTTGCATCCACCAGCAGAGACACCTCGTTGCCATACACCATGATACTGGAGAGATCTCCACATATCAACTCGTTGCCAACCAAGCTCCAAACCAATCACATCCTCACTCATATGAATCACTTCCAGATGGGTGAAGGTCTTGACAAAGTCAGAATAGGACATCCTGTTTATATGAAGGAAGTATAGGATTATTAATCTGCTCCATGGAGCAGCCACATGCAAGGAGGTGAAAGATGTTAGGGTGGGTTCACACCTATCTAACACAGCATGTCTTGAAGGTTTTCACTTTGTGAATTTAGAAAAGGATTTCAAGTCACTTTCCCAATCTGACATGCATGTTTTTATTCATTCTCTCTCCACAAAGTCTTTTATCATCAATATCCTGACACATTTAATTTAATTTCTCACTCTTCCCCTTTGTGGTTCATCATGAATTTTCTACAGCCAAAAAGTTTTCATCAAATACAATTCAAGAACCTAAGGGTGTTTCTGTACTTAAATTTCTAGAGAATTCCTAGAATTTTTCATTAGTTACCAGCTCCACAGAACTGACTGGGAGTTACATTTCTTAAGATCATTTTGTCCAGATATAAAACCACCTAAACAGTTTTGGAAATAAAAAATTCTCAAATTTGGTTGGCAGACTCAATTGAAAGCATGTAACAATATTGTTCTGTTCTGGGCATGCATACTTTTGCAATCTCCCTCTGCTTTTTGAAGGTTCTCCCAGCAAGGAATATGATCATAAGCAGAGGTTTTGCTTCAAATGGATATTCATTTCATGGGGCATCTTGATTATAGTACATTGTCTCCTGAAAACAGCAGTGACAAGAAGGTAGAGAAGCATCATAGTAAATGCAAGGGCTTCCTAAACTGCAGAGTTGTGAGGTAATATACCACAATTTCAGAGACTCCTACTGCACTTGGTTTCCTGTCTCCCAAGCCCAGTAAAGAACATGTGTCAAAACACACTCATTGAATATTGAGAAAAATCAATGATCATGAAAGTCCATTTAAGAATTAAAATGCTGCTGAATGGGAAGAAAAGGAAACTTCTGATGATCATTACCAACAATTACTTTTCTTCCCCATAGAAGCCCCTGAAAAATAACCTGCTGTGGACCTAATATATTCCCTTACTAATAATTTTTCAGAAATTTTTTCAGCTTATGTAAATCTAAAGACTAATCTTGAAACTTAACAGAGTGGAATGCAGATTCGTCCATATGACAAAAAAGCAGCAAATTTCCAATATAATCTTTTTTGGCAGAAAAACTTGCAATCAAAAGTATAATTTTCAACACTTTTATAAATATGCAATATGAAAAACAGAGCATGTCTTGTGATGCTGAGCCATGTTGTATGCAATGTGCAGGGCCATATACTGTAAAGCTTTGACAGGATGTGAACCCACTCTCAGACTGACCAAAACTGGGAAGGGTTCAGGCGATGCAAGCGCAATCGATCTTGCTCTTGAGTGGGGACTTCTGTCCAAGATGAAGAATCTCGGGACCACATTCCGATGTAATCTGTGCCTAAGCCAAGAGGATGCTGAAGACAAATCAACTGGACCATGCCCACATTGAAGGTTTCCACCTAGTCAAGGAAGGGCATTGCTTTCAATACCAAAGCATCATCACTAGTAACATGTGGCTGCCTTTCCTTTTCCTATCCCTGAGAGCAGCAAAATTAGGTGGAAATCAAGGGACAGAGTAGGTTTACACACCTCAACCAGAAACTGACAGGGTAGAAGTGTTGGGCCTAGTGTAGAGGAAGAACCCATCACCAAACCTTGCCAGGATATTGTGGCTCAAGTACAGCAGCCCATATCCATTTCCATGCAAAAGATTATTACACGAGACAAGTTATAGATGAAATATCAACAGGATCTGAAATGTGGCAGACTATCTGGAAAGAACATCAGGATGCACTCACCTTCTCAAGAGCACAGACACGATAGTTTACCCCAATCGAGATCCCATTGGCTAATCTTTCAGGCTGATTCTTCCTCTGAGAACATAGCAAAACTTTATGATGTGAATATCACAGACATTCATCGTATTATCTGCAGAGGATGGAGAAAATCCATTCACAAACCGTTTGAAGATCTACTGTGCAGGTGACAACAGATGTCATCTTGAGGAGTTTGGAGATCCTTTGACTTGATCCTGTTGGATCCTGGCGAAGATTGACAGCCTCCACAATCCCTCCAGTGAAATCAGCCAAACCATCATATGTTGTCCCATATTTCAGGGCTTCATAGGATCCATGTAACCTGCCAGGTTGACATGATGACCTGAGTGCTACCAGTCAGGGGTCATTCTTAATAATGCAAAACTAAATTGTTAAGGAAAGTTCATAGGCTCTTAAGGTGGCAAGGTTTGTCCTTTTTGCTTTTTTTAATACTGGCCCTGCCTCTCTGTTTGTGATTAACATAAGCTTACTGGTTCTGTTGCTAAGAGATATGCTTCTTTCCATTGAGCATAGGCCTACAAATGGTTTGCAAAAGAGTCTCTTCAGGGCAGTGGATGAAATAACAATGGGATACTATCACTCTTTAAAGGTTTTTCATTTTTGAAATGATACCAGTAAATATTTAAAAAATTGAAATAGACTGAGACAACTGTTATCATTGATTTACACCTTAGGTAATTTTCTTTTTAAATTTATTTCTTCTTCATTCTTAAATAACAACAAAATCATATAAAGGATGTAGGGCTCTAAGCACTCTGCAGCAAGTAGGCTTTTGTCTATGAGTCATGAAACAAAACTCACTTAGCATAGGCTTTCTCTAAGAGGGAAGGCCAAAACTCATTGGAGGATTGAGAATGGATAAAGACAAGTTTTCCATTGACGGTTGGAAGTCGATCATCAACTAAGACTTCTTTCCAGCGCCCACACCACCATATGCGAAAGCAGAACACTCCACAATACCCATCCTCATCTTGGAAAGACTGGTTTGGAGGTATAACATGGTTGAAAAGGCTCTTGATGCGATGAAGACAACCCATGCAGGACATCAGCCACTGATCACCTATAAATTATTTCCAACTCTGAGCTTAAATTGCTTAAAAGTGATGAATAAAAGGACTGCTGAGAAACAGCACTCACCAAACTTCCCCTCATTCAAGCCAAGGTGTCTTTCACTGCTACTGACAAAAACTGCATCCGTCGATAATTCCTGCAATTGTTTCATTGAAAAGAAGTTGGAATAAATTTGCATTCAATGAAGTTTTCCCAAAATTAATTTCCTTTTTGAAGGAAAAGTTACTCCTTTAAATATGATATGCTAATCAATGCAAATATTTTGGACCATTGACAAATGAGTAAATGGAGAAATAGGAATCATGGCTACATGATACTGTTACTGACATTATAGGTCTAGGCTTACATAGCAGATACCCTTACAGTATTAAAGGCCAATATGGTGATAGTATACTTGACCACAGTATTTTCATTGAGAGCACTAAATCTTCTGCACATATTTCACATCATTGAATTGAAAGTCTGTTTCAACACTATAATGGAGACTTCATTGACGTTCATACTTTAATGGAGCTCAGTTGATCATAACAGAGGATGAAGATCAGTAACAGAAGTAAGGTCTAACTGAACACAAAGCACACAAAGCCCCAATGGCTGCATGCGAAAGAGACCAGTTTTACCATTGTGGGAGCTGTGAATCCCACCTACTCAACAATTTTGGATTGAAAATGTCAATGGGAATTCTTAAAACAGAAATATCTGCCATACCCACTTGTGGAAAATTCTGATGGATAAATTTTGTCTTACTGAGTCTGTTAATATCATACTTTTGTTTGGTGAAAATAAGTTATAACAGAGCAATCAAATTTCCATACTTTTTAATTTCTTATCCTGGCAATATTGACACAGTGACATTAGTGCTTTGCATTTAAAATATTAACTTTCTAGTTTTGACATTGTGGTTTGTGCATGGGGTATCATAGTAACCATAAAATTAAATCATGGTTATGGTCAAACAAATTGTCCTATAAAATAAATTCCCCATATAAAGTGTCTGTAGGGTTGGCTTTTTTTAACTGTAGACAGGAACCTTAACATTTTATTTCAAATTTTCGGAAAAAAAAAGGATTATTTTCACTTCATCCTTTATAAAAGGAAAATAATGGAAATAAAAGGAAAAAATAAAAATATTAAAATAAAGGAAAAAATTTATCGAGACATTCATAAAACAGGTACCCAAACACTTTATGCAAATATTTAGGCATATATATAGCCAAATATCTGTTTTCTAGGTGACTTCTTTCTTTCATCTTGGGTGGCTTTTCTTTTCACTTTTCAGTGTGTATTTTTTCCATTTGGCTTTCCCTGAGATAAAAATTAGGTCAGTAGTTCCTTTAGCATGTTACTTTTACTCTTATCTGTTCATTGCTATGCTTTTGGTTATTGTACATGAAATAAACACTTTCTTGGCTAACAAAACCTTGTTTTCAATGTGTTAACAACCAACAAAGCATCCACCCAAATACACAAAGGGGGCAAGCAGAATAATTGAAACTATTGGCGAACCTACCTTAGGTCTCTTCCAAACAAATTCAAATGGAGGGGTCTGATGATAAAAAACAGATGACTGAACAGCTGGAAATTCGGGATCTTCCCATAGCTGACTTCTTGCTGTGCACTGCTTCACAATCTTCTCATAACCATGAAAAAATGTCTTCGTCATAGTTTCTGCCACTTAGGTTACAAGTGTTACAAACAATATGCAATTTCTCCCCTTTCCTGATTTCCTGGCATGAATGCCATACATGTATGGGAAGCACACTTCAAACAAATGCCTCACAGCCACATCAACTCAGACAATTCCTCTTGTTTCCCTGATTTCAGGGAACCACTGGTTGACCTAAGCTTATCTTTTATCATCCTGGAACTGTCTCCTCTCCCTCAACAGAACCTATAAGTTCATCAAAAAAGATTAACAAATGAATTAGACCTTGCCTACTAGTCTAAATTTCTACCATTGACAGGCCTATAGCCACTTGCTGCCAATACCATCATTCATCCCAGAAGCCATGCATCTCTTCCAAATATGGAGTCAGGTATTTTCCATACAGGATCCTATGAGTCTTGAAGGATTTAATCTGCCTTGCCTCATAATCCAAATGTGAAAGCTGTCCCATCAAGGCATCATTCCCTTGGTTGTCTGTTTTAGCATCACCTTTTTATTTTCTGCCAAGTTTTTAAACACAAGAAGGTGAAAATAATGCATCTCCAATTTGACCTATGACCTGGAAATGGGGGACTCTAAGCTGATCATCTGATAAACCAGAGTGGTTACATTTTAATGAAGTATCTCCCTTTAGGTCCCTCTTCAAAATTTTGTTCCTCCTTTTTTTGTAAGTTAAAAAGCCACTTCTACAGTCTGATTATTGGCTGCCAGCATCTTATTCTAAAACCAATCATCAAATTATACAATGGTAGAGTACATTCTGGCCTGTTACACTACACCGGGTCTGCCCTTTAATCAATGCTTTGCCTGACAAACCTTTGGACAGCACCCTCTACCTTTATTCCATCTTTTCAAGATTGTTCTTTCCCACCTACATCAGGGTGACCAGACATCCCGGTTTTTCAGGCTATGTCCCAGTTTAAATTTTCCTTTTCATCCTGGTGTCCCGGTTTCTTCCCATTGCAGGAACTAACATTCTGGCATTTTCTCGAAAATGTCCCTGTTTTTCCTGAAAAATATCTGGCTCTCCCTAATCTACATGCATATGTTGAAACTGAATCTAGGTATGTAAGTTCATCATGCTTTCTAATTTGGTTCCCAATACGGCTACGACTTCCTTGGAAATAAGCACTGAACTGAAGAAACGCGCCCCTACTCCCGACACAAGTACCACACTCCACTTTGTAATTTATCATTCACTCAATAGGAGTTAAAGCATATTAGCTAATGCCAACAAAATACGTTCTCAAGTGAAAACACACAACATGATGGTAGATTAAATATACAGAAACCGCCAAGGAAACACAAATTATGAAACGCACAGTCAGTAACTTGCTATATAACATTATACGAGCCGCGATGCGATACTGCGAGCCGCCATATTGGAAACGGCTAGCGTTACGGTCCACGTGCCCTGCGGCTGCGGAATGTTGCCCATTCTCCGGGCCAGGTCTTGACCCACTTTCCCACTCCTTCCCTTTCTTGTAACTAAAAATGGATTCCACTGTTTCATGCATGCAAAAGCAGAGCATCTCAATGAAGAGTAGGAAGCATAGCACAGCAAGTGTTCACTGTTTCACCATTTCTGAAACAAAACAACCACCTCGGTCCCCGACAACGGTTTTCGAAAATTACTCGCATGAGGCACAGCAATAATTAAATTAGTTGATCACGTGCTCTCGCAACAAGACCTCGCAATCGCACTAGGCAATCGCACAGGGGTTGCATCTATTATCTCTCAAAAGTGTTTGACCAGATCGACCAAAACATTTTACTTTCAAACTCAGAAACCTGTATGGTTGCTCTGCACGGTTAATAGTATTTTTTTCGTGTCATACAGGCACCAACTAATCTTTGAACGATGATGGCAGGTCTTCTGTCACACTACAGTGATTTCTAGTTGATTGCACCCCGCCCTCCCATAAATGATAGCGTGGATGGAAAAAGTGGTGGGAGGTACAAGAACTCTGGGACACTGTTACCATGCATTTCATGGGTCGTTTCCTTATTTTCTTGCTTCTTTTCCAGGAAAGTGGGGGGGGGGGAGCATGTGCCCCCCCCCCCCCCCACTCCTACGCCACGCCGCTGTTACGCCCTTCTGAATAGCGCAACACGTCACGCAACCTGACCGAAATGTGCAGTCTCATAATTGCCTCTGGCTAAATCAGCGACTGAACTGGGAATTAAGTACTTCCCGCTTCCGCTACTGCAGAGGGGGATGCAAGCAATCGAAAATCATTGCAACTAATCACTCGATTGGGGTACTTCAAGGTTCCAAATTGAGTTTCCAACTCTTTCTACTGTTCATTCACCCTCTCTCCCTTCTCATGACGTATCCGTCATCGTAGTTCCCAAGGGCTTCCCCGTTAGTGTGGCCTAAATGGAATCTCGCGTCTCCGGGATTTCCCGTTACTGTAACATCGACGGCACAAAAAAGCAATTCTAGGACGGCATGTAAGGAATACCGCGCGACCAGCCGCCCGCATCCACTCCCCCCCCCCCAAAAAAAAAAAAAGAAAAAACACTGGCAAGGGGACGCGCGCACGAATATTGACCCGTCGAGGGGTTAATGATGTGTACCTATCAGTGGCGTAGCTACCGAATGTGATGGCGGTGCGACTGCACCGGGGCCCAAGGGCTAAAGGGGCCCAGACGCCAGACGCGAAGCTATGAACAGGAGGGAAGGCAGGGGAGGGGGGGGGGGGGGGAACGACTGCCCCTCCTCTGGCCAAGTTCGCAGTCTATTTTTTTAATTTAGAAAGCACATAAATTAATGTTTATTATCTCCTGTGAAGTGGATAATCAGGGTTTTTAAATGAATAAGGGGATAGGACAGAGGATGGTGGTGGATGGGGGCTGGGAACTAGGAAACAGGCTATGAAAAACTTCTGTATCCGCCACTGTCTTCCACACTGACTTCAGATATCGACGATTTATATGCAGCCGGAGAAAACTAGGAAACAAATATGGCTTCCACATAATTCAATTGTAAGAAATTGGACAGCGGATCCCGTTTCGTTCCTTGCACCAGGGCCCATGCCAACCACGCTACGTCACTGGTACCAATCCTTTGAATTCTGTAACATTGAACTCCATGCAGATGAAACTACAAGGCATATCAGAAAGAGAGAGACCATTGAATATTAACACAAGGTGTTAACATACTCATTCAACTATTTATTTAATAATAAAATGTGAAAATATGAAGATTAAATGATGGCCACAGTTCCTGTGAAGCAAAAGGTCTTGAAAATAATACTGCCAATGGGTCCGCCCGTTTACTTTACACACCATATGTTCGAAAGAAGACATTGTTCGCAATTGTAAAGATGACCACATCAATGGCCAAAATATTTTCCTTGGAAGAAGAGTTGGGAGCAAGGTCAGAGGGTGGTTAACCTATACTCTGGACAAGCCTTGGGCTTGGATTTATAGGAATACTTGGAGAGATGAGTAGATGCAGCATCATAGAACATCACCCGAAGAGGAAACGAAACGAAGGTGTAAAATTGCCTGCTGTACAGTCTTGGCCTGACAATAGTCTACAGTTGTGAAGTTCAGAGTAAAAGGTGTCCCGCGCAGCGGTGGTAGGGCATGTTTGAATGTGCAGTTGTAACAGATACGAGCAGTTCTGAATCAGAACCCATTTCAATTGTGGATATGGGGTCAAACTAATCGCCCAAATCGTCACCCATACGGATTTTGACGAAACCTAGCGAACTCCTAAAGATGTGTGAAAAAATCAGGAAAAGTTTAAAGGTATTTGTATTATGAAGCAATACAGAGAAAACTTGTCGAACGCCCGCGGAAGGAGCGAAGAGGGCGGCAACATTGAATGCACAAGTTTCCTCTGTTCACCTCAACTTACGTCACTCGAGGGCAGTCGTTGAGAGTCCGAGGGGAGTTCGAAATTGCGAGGCATCGCCAAGATGAAATCTCTGAGGGATTGGGAGGCACGCATCAATGCATGCCAAGCATCTTAATCAACCCTCGTTTCCATCTCTCGTTCCACAGGACATCAATCTCCAAAACTAACAATTAAGTCAAACAACTAATTAGTTGTTTGGCAGCTCTATATGCATTTTTTTTTACCAACAGCCTGCTTTCTGATAGGCCCATACTTTATGGTCTCGTTGTGTCCCTGGCCTTTGTTTGTGAAACTTATTTTAAGAACTTAATTGCACCGTGTGTGAGTCGGGGTAGCTCGATTTTCCATCAACGAGAAAAGGTATAGGTTCACTATGCGGTTTCAGGAATAAATTCTACAGGTTCTGGTTCGTGAACCTCGCTCCTCAGGTGCATAACGGCAAGAGATTCTTGACACTAGGCCCAGCAAATTTGTAATACCCCTATACCCACCAGGAACATCAACCTCGAAGATGAGAAGGAGATACCACCTTTAAAGGATAAATAACTTTATTCATCACCGTAAAAATTATGTATTTTGAGTCAATTTATATATGAGGAGGGACAGGTAATCTCAATCCATAAATGATCTGAGATGACAAGCCTTCCACAGGCACTTACCAGAAGTTATGTGACATTCTAAAAAAAGGAAAGAATTCAGCAATACTTCAGAATTGACAAAGACATTTCCCCTTCTTAATGGAAGAGATCACAATTCTCATACCACACAGCAACCAATTATGCATGAAATAATAATCAACAAGTTGGAAATTCCTTTCCAGAACTCTGCAGATGTAGTTCATGTCAAAGGAAAATCAATCTGATCAGGTTCATATGGCTGTCCACAGCACCTATCTGATGTTTGAAGATTTCTGATAATAAGTGATTTCTAAAAAAGAATTAAGGTTACTCATCCAGCACCCACCAAAGATCATAAACACCAACATGTACATAAAATGAATCATCCCATTCAACTGATTCATCATTTCTACCCATGGGGCACAGAGCTCGACTTGCTTGCTTCTCAAACACCACAAATACCAGCACAATGATGCACAATTGAAGAAAGAAAAATATATAAATAATACATTCCTCATCCCCTAGCTCTTACCTAAGAAAGACAAGGCAAAATCAGCTAGAAATATTATGTTCATCTCCTTGCTAGGAACTCATCCAAGAGGAGAAAGAAATGCATTGCACTTTAATTAAAAGATTCTTAACAGAAATGAGCCCCCACCTCTTTCGTTACATCATACAATGCAACATTGAAACTAATATTGTAATCTAATTGGAGAAGCATCTCGATAATGTCTGCAAATGAAACAGAAAGCCAAGGACATTCATTTGTCTCTCTTTCTCCAAAAGGAAGTGACAGTTGCAAGAAGACTGGACTGTGAGAAGAGGCGAGATATGGAGCCAGGGCTTCCCAATTCTTCACTGGGAATGGACCCAGAGTTGGGTAAACTCTCCCAGTCAGAGGGCATTTCATTCTCTTCCTCTTCTTCCTCTTCCAGGAAAAAGTTCCCTTCAGGTACTGAGGCCAAAAGAGTCTTTTCTAATGGAAGTATACTCTCATGACATGGCTGTATTGCTACAGCAATCCCAAGACTTGGAGAATCCTTCAGGGAAGCTAGGTTTGGGAGGGGCTGACAAGGATGCAATTGGGAAGGGTTCATTCCAGATTGAATACAAATATTCAGAATATTGGCATTAAGAATGGCAATACACTTCTCAAGCTTCTCCTTGGGAACATTCATGTCATTGAAATTCCGAGGCAGTAACCGGGAGCAAAGACGAACCCCAAGGAGAGAAGCCAAAATATTAACCAGTTGTGCTATGTAGCCCAAAGCTGCTTTGATGGGTCGTACTTCCTTGCTCTCCATCCCAATTTCTGTCTCTTGATCCCATAATGCTACAATAGAAGCATTCAAAGTGCTTGGCATGGATGCTGTCACAATAGAGTACTCGGCTTTCTCGTTCCCCAAATCCATCCAAGCACCAGACACATATGCAAGCCTTGAGGCTTCAGCAAGAGCACATATCATGGTCTCATCTTCAGAACTCTGTGCAGTTGGTTCAACTCCATCTGTGATTCGAGAGATGGGGAAAATATTCATCATCAACTCATGAACTTTCATTTGCCTCATGGACTTCACATCTTCTTGCTTCCTCTTTAAAACTTCTAATTTCTGAGCTCGGTACTTCTTTAGTTTCTGGATGCGACTGGACCACTTCAGTTGTTGCACCTTGAATTGGTCCATCTGGGAAAGCAGTTTCCCAATACCAAATTTTTTATGTCTTTGTTCTTCATGCAGAATGTTCACAGAAGTTTGCTTGGCACTTACTGCCTTCTGTAACAGCTTCACTCGCATCTCTGTTTCTTGAAGCATTTCCTGAAGTTGAAGATGACTGTGATGTTGCATGGATGCCTTCATGTAGTCTTCAGAGAGGAGTATGACCTTATGTCTTGATTCCAGAAGCTGAAGCTGCACATCAGCGAACCTTTCCAAATGCCGACTGGAGCCAAAATTTCCACTGCGTAAGCACTCCACACAATAGAAAATGGGACTGCGCATAAAGCACAGAGGACACGTTCCTGATCGATGCAGGCTGGACTCTGGATCAATCTTCCAAAGTTGCTCAGCTGAAACATCACTGGACAAGCTCCCAGAGGGATCTTTGGAGATACTAGAGTCTTCCATGCTTCAGCTGCAGTTCACACTATATAAATATATGTGGGATATACAGTACAAGCCTTGGGAATGAACACACACACACACAAGATCCAACTTGTCTTGTTCAGAAAATTTTTCCCTTACCAGTACCCCTATTCACACTTGTTTTTCACAGTTATGACTATCATGTTGGTCTGATGAATCAAATAAACAGCACTCACAAACACTGTGTTGGCCCTGCAATAGAGAGAAGTACATCAGTCTCATTCATTCAATAGGGGAGGGCTACTGTGCATGAAATGACGGTGATTCTTGGGAAAAAAAAAAACTTACTGTCCTTCTTTAAAATACTCTTTGAGTGTATTTGAAAACCTCTTGGAGTACTTGACAAATTCTCTCTTCCTTTGATCCAATGCAAGTTTCCCAGTAGCTCCAGGTATGAAGGCTGATACTTCCGTCACACAGTCCAACAACTTCTTTATTGCGCTGGCGATTTCTCTGAGCAAATTATAATAGAACCAGTCATTAGTTCCCATGCAAAATTACCTCAGAAGTTTCTACCATCATGTCATTAGAGGGATACTGCATTCAAATAGAAAGTAATGCAAAGAAAATAGATGCCAATAATGATGTAAAACTGAATCTCCATTGGTCATGACATCAATGTGCCTGGCCAAACCTCCAACTCCCATTAATATGTACATAGGAAAAATAAAAATAACACAAAAGGAAACGAGAGGGTGCAGCCTCATTAGAACATTAGTGCAGTGCTGGGACCATTACTGCAATTACACGGTGTGAAAAACTGGAACCTGGGAAGCTCTTGGCCAGGACCATTGTCCATTGAGATCCGAATTTCGAAAAGCTAGTAATCTAACAATTTTCAATGAACACTTCCCTGTTTGCAAATAAGTACAGTATTTACTTGAGTATAGTGCACCACAGTGTATAAGATGCACCCCCGCTTTTGAGATCCCAATTTGTGTAAAAAAAGATTCCCTGTGTATAAGGCACACCCCCCTATTTCGTAGTGAAAAGTGTTGGACAAAGGAGATAATAAGGGGTAAAGTTGGTTGAATCTCATTTCTTATTCACTGTCCTGACCTTTATCGAGGGGGGTCAGTCATCCCTCAGTATCACAAACGTTCGTTTTATTATCTGTGAAAATGGATGGAAATGTACAGTGAAGTTACACAGGTGCGGAGAAATCAATGTGATTCAGGAAGTGAAGGAGTTGGGCATCTGTGCAATAGGTCGTAAGCATGGCATTGAGGAAAGCTGTATATGGAAGTGGATGTAGGTGAAGGCAAAATTGAGCTAGGCTCTAAAGAATCTCATAGGCTTTCATGGGGAAAAGGGGATCATTTCCGGTAATCAAAAAGGAAGTGGCCAAATACATGAAAGAGTGAGTCTGTACTTCTGTTGTAAAATCCATGATGAAGCAAACTGTGTAAACATTTCACTTCATTCTGGCGTTGTTTGCCGGTTTTTGGCCTTGAAAGGATGGTCTATTTGTAAAACTAGAGTGATCTGGATGCGAACCTGTAGGATTGCAAGAGCCAATGAGATCTCCCATAAAAAATTCAATGCATTATGAGGATGAGATTCATGAAGCAAGTTGGATTTTCTCTTCGTCTGAAAACCTCAGCGGCTCAAAATTTTTCATGAGAAATGATTATCTCTGGAACAGCCCCTGGAGGAGGATGAAAGCTCCATGAATGAAATTTCCACAATGTCAGACAACTCAGATTCTAATTCTGACACCGAATGAAGTCCACGAATCGACATAGCCACTCTCTGATTACTGTTTTATTATTATATTATACTTCCCCTGTTCTGACTAACTGCAGACACTTTTTCTGCCTCAATACAAATGACCAATGAGTTACAGGTACAATGCAAAATTTTTTTCCCTCAAGTATAAGACACACCCCATCATTGAACACAATAAAATATGTATTTAAAAAAGCACCTTATACACAAGTAAATACAGTAAGTACTGAGTAAAAAAGCATCACAGAGAGTGTCAGTTCATCCCTAACTTAGAATATGCAATAACAAAGAAAATATTTACTCCATTAATTTTTCCTTCAGTAGAAGCAAAGGAACAAGATGTGAAAAGAAAGAATGATGTCACATGGTCAATGGTCCTTATTCCTATATGATACTATGATCTTCTCATAGATGTCAGGATGAAAATCATTTTACCAACTTACTTGATTGTTTCCAGGAAAGTTTTCCTGTCTGTTATCTCATCAGGAATGCGACTCAGAATCCTCTTCAATGCAGCTGATTTCCTATTCAAGTCCTGGAAGACATCCTCCATTCGAGTAAGCCGGTACTCAGTGACTGAAAAAGACAAAAGCCATAGGATAGGATAGAAAGGAGTTGAAATGGATCAGCATAAGAGTCAATTCATATGATATACAGGTTTAACTACCCCAACCTCTAGGATTCTGCTGATTATCACAATCTTCAATCCATGATTGTAATCAAGGATTGAAGCACTCATACTGCTGATATATTTATGCATTGCAATATTCTTTTCAGCTTCCAGCATCATATTGATCAGGCATCACCTCATAGAGCAAAAGATGCATGGCTTGGCTGATGGTTAGAAAAGATTAATGGATAATATCTTCCATCACTGCGTGACATTTCCCACAGTCATGTTTTGACAAACAGAATATTCAGTTAGAGAGAGATAGGTAGATATCCATTAATTTCCTCAGAAATGGTATTAGTTTTCTTGTCACTTTTATGCAGAGAAGCAGGGGATTACTGAAGTTTAGACCATGGTCCTGTTATTCATGTGCCAACAGCCAAGGTACCAACTGGGTGTTTTGATAGTACTTTCATTTAAAACTCTTGCTGGCACAAGTTGCTGTCATGTCAGCCCTTGGTGTCCACAGTCTGATTCAAGAATAGGAATCTTTTCTCTAGCAAGAGCTGGGACACTTGAATCTGAAAGCTCAAATCCAAGACTAAAACACTAGGAATAGAATACTGTGCCTTAGTATTCCATTCTGCCCTTGAATTCCTTTTACCATAGGTTTCAGACTATGAAATGTTGTCTGTTCCAAGACTTAATCTTGAAATTAAAAAAATTGCAACAAAATGTTGTGTGATTGTTTAAAGCTAAGGTTAAGGTTTTAAAAAATCACATAAATTTAAGGTTAAAAAAAAACTTTTTCTGGGCAAACCCAATCAGGCATTCTGGTTGTTGGTGGTCTACATTGATGTTTCTCTGGTCATTGGTGATCTATACAATAAGATGTCCAGAAAATCCAAGTGCTAAGGTTCTCTGATAACATAAAAAAAATTTATTTTGAAGACCTGACAAGAATTGACCTCTTTTAACCCTTCCCTGGTGACACCACACAACCCTGATGATTCCAGGAAAATGATGAATTCCACCTACTCCAGGGAAAGGACTTGAACCAACAAAGTTTGAGAACTTGAAGAAGATCATGGGTCGATTTTTGAACAGAGAACTATCTGATAAAGCTGCTTTATTTCCAGGGAAATGCAAGATATTTCCTAGAAATAAAGCAGCATTATCGGATAGTTCTCTGTTAAAAAATCCATCTGTAGTCTCCTCATGAAGATTATGTCGTGATTGAGAACCTTTGCTCCCAATCATTCAGAATGAGGTAGTATCAAGAACATTGACTTTTTCTGATGAGTGGGCCGAGTACGGATATTAGCACTGAACTGTGAACCACCAGACAAACTTTGTCGATCCCGCCACAAAAACAAACCAAAAAACAAACACCAATAAATACAGTATAGTGTGTAGACCACTGGCCTTATGTAGACCGCCAGCAACCAGAATGCCCCCAATTATGGATATATCAATGAGATTTACTTTATCCTAGCTATAGAATTACTTTTATGCCTACCTCAAGGATAATTCACAGAGACTGGTTCTCATCCTACAGGATAGACATTATTCTCCAAGATGTGGTCACAGGAAGCACTTCTACCATCTCTTTGAGATATATACAGGGTGAGTCAAAAGTCTGGTCTCATAGGAGCTAAACACATTTTGTTCAATTCACGATTTTTATGCAATGTGTGTAATGAGTGTAATAATAATCACACCCAACAACCTCCAGTGCATGAGGGAGAGCTTCCTCCATTGCCTGGACATCTGTTCCCACCTCCAGGGCATACAATTTGAGCACCTCTTGTAAATAAACATGTTCCCTATGAGACTAGGCTTTTGACTCACCCTGTATTCAGAAATGTCCCAAAGCAACTGAAAACATCAAAGCAAGCTTTTCAGCTACTGCAGCCTTCATGAATAGTTCACCAAAATGACTGAATTATTCCAAACTCCCTGTGTGTTTTTTTGGTGAGTAGCATGAGTCATTGATTTGGGTGACTTCCTTAAAGAAGCATGCATCAAGAGGTTCTTGTTATCACAACCCAAAGACTTCAAAGTATTAGAGAATTTCCATCATGAGGCAAGCCTTGAAAGATTTTTACTTCATTGCAGTAAATAAATATGAGGACCAACCCTTGAACAGTTTGCTGAAATTTTTTGCTTGAAATTTTTCCCAGTCAACATTCCCAAAATATGTACCTTCAATTTCCTTGTTTGTCTCCCACTTCAAGAGGTGAATTTACTACTCCTAGTCTTCTACCTTCCCAAATGAAGAGGCACACACATACACAAAGTGATAAGGAATCAGTAGGTGACCCTGACCCTGACCCTAATTTAATCTTCCATGTTCAAATTGAATCAAATTACACCTTTGTATTTGAGTTTCTCCATTTCAACCAATGCTTTCTGTATTCAACTGAAGAGGATAGCTGTGCTGAAAAACTGATGTGTGGAGTGTGCTTTAGCTTTACAGTACTGAGTGAATGCAAAAATGTAGTTTCTATGTAGCTTGTTGAGAAAATTCTAGGTTATTGCAAATCTACAGCTCAAATATATATAGGATTAAGTCCATACTAAGAGTTCCTCATCCCATCAAGGAGGAACATCCAGCAGTGCAACATCTAGCAAGAGTATAGCAGAAAAACCTAAGTTCCTGTAATCTCATCCCCTCTGCAGATTAAGTTCTATTTTAAAAAATATGAAAAAAGCCTGGAAAAAATTAAAAAAAAGTGTGCATCCTGTAAACCTCTCAGCCTCAGAGAGAAACAGATGACCATTTTCTTCCATGTTATTTCCATTTGCTTTTGGCTTAATAAGTGTCTACATTAGAGGACCTTTCCTTTTTGCTTTTTAACCTCATACACACAATATATTCTGGATTAATTCATTAATGACTTCACTAAGTGTAGCACCACCAGATCAGAAAACACAAAATGGGAGTTTCAGTTTTTATGCACAATCGAACATATCAGTAGGAGCAATGTGAATATTGGAGATATTTGGATTCAGAGTTTAGGGGGCTTTCTGTTATACCCAATAGTAAGCTGTTTTTAATGCTATTACTATCCATACTGTACACACTTTTCAATTTGGCACTCAAGGAATCAAGCCTCTAGAGAGCTTTGAAATATCCTCAAGATGAGAGGAGTATAGTGTACTGAATAAAAACTTCTATCTCAGAAATCTCACCTTCATTATCGCTCAACTGTCCTTGAAGGCGTAGAAGGCTTTCATGAATATTCACACTGAGGTCAGCTTTGCGGATAATTCCCATAACCAAGTCATATGTGAAACCAGGATGAGCAGCCTCTACTTTGGTTAAAGCTGCCCGTAGTGTCTGGCTCCCAGCTACATCCTTTCTCTCCAACTAGCAGGGAAAGAAATGAAACAAAATCAGACTTAATTCAATATGTTATCGAGAATTGTAAAGCACTTATCAGGCCTATACCTATTAGATCTTATATATTAGACAGAATAAAAGCTACTCAAGCTAAAAAGCTACTAAAATGCTATTTGTGAAAATGCTAATTACACGGAAACCCTTTGTTCAGGACATAGTCAAGGAAGTGATTGCTGAATGATCAAAGCTGATGAACTGTCTTGATGATTGGGTGCCTCAAAGGCCTACCTCTTCTGCATGAGTGTGCAATGATACAAAGCCAGTTAATCAAGAAAAGAATCACAAACCAATAGCCTGGATGTGGCCCTTCAATGTGATGATGCGCAGCTAGAGTGACATTGCATACTCATCTCCCACCGTCTCCAAATACCATGACAGGGTTGCTCAGGCTATATCAGGACTGCCCACATTGATGGCTTTTATTGCTTTAAAGATTTTTAGACCAGCAGGATTATTAGACTGACTTCAAATATATTTTCAATTATTTTCTGATGTCCAATGTGGCATCTTATGATTTTGCATGGTATGAATTTCATGGATCTATTACTCTCCCTGGAGGCATGTCACCAGGGGCCATTTGCAATACTGCTGTTTAGTCGGATTTTAATGCGAATTCTGACCTTGGGAGTCTGTCTTTAATTTTAGCCTGTAGCACTGATCCTGACAACAAATAAGTGCAACCAAGACTGGAACCAGATTTTCCCAAGTTGGGCTTTATTAGTCAGACTTTCGTAAGGCTGACTTTGAAGGGAAAGCAAAGCAATTAGCCTCATGTCTTCCTTGGTTTTCATGACCAGCTGAATTCCCTATTCTCCTTTCTTCAACTACTTGCCCTTCATGAATAACGATTGTTCTGTAATGTAAGTTCTACCAAATAAAAACATAATTAGGGTTTTAATGGGATAAAGATTTTAAGACCCAAGACAATGGACAGCAACTCTCTTGGGAAATGCCTCTACGGATCATGAGGAGGTTGAGGAAATAATATTCTGCTGAGGCTATACTTTCCCTTGGGCAAGTGAATCGATATGAGCACATCTTACTTGTGTGCATCAATGCAACTAGGACAATTATTTCCAGGAGCATTCATCTTGAGGGTAGTTATACAAGTGGAGGTGCAGAGGGAGCATTACAGTCAACACTCAATGCCAATAATCTGGATCTCACAGTAATTCAGATGCGAGGAATATTCATAGCTGAAGTCCCATAAAGCCTATAATAAAATTTTCCATTTAATCTGAATTCTGTTATTCCATAGTTTTAGTTTATACAGAAGAGTTTTCTCATCCCTTGAGCCTTTCTTCCATTAATCCAGACTTGCTAGCAAATGAGATATAATAAAACAGAAAAGATTCCTGTTCCTCTCCATCCCTAAGAATGAAATTTAAAAAAAGAGAAATGCTATCTTCATTGAGACTTTCTCATGCTTTATTACCACCTCATTCATCTCGTCAGTCTCATCTACCCTTGTCTTTAAACCACAATAAATTTCTCTCCTCCCATTACATGTAAGTGTTCTTGGGTGATCTCACATGTGAGAAGTTGAAGTGCCATGGCTTAGGTGAAAAACAAGTAGTGGTACCACATGATTAGAACATTCCTGCATCAACAGTGTTGGATAGTAAAAAATTATTGCAATAAACTTGAACAGGATGCTGTCCTGGCTAGTGCCCTTCTATTACAGAAATGAAAGTGAAGTGAACACATTGAAGATGCATGAATCAAAGCAAAAGAAACTTTGCCATTTCTTCTATGTGTATGATCAACTGAACAAGAATTGTCATTGTTTTCCTATTCCCATGGGAAAAAATAAGAGGCTTCTTTATACCTTAAGAGTGCAGTTTTCTTCTCTATGAAAAAAAAAGGAGAAAAATGGTCACAAAAGTGACTGGTAATACCTGTCTGAGTGACCTTTTTTATTTTAATAACTCAGATGAACTACTAAACTGGACAAAATCACCAGTCCCCTCAAGTCTGTATTAACAAGAGAAAGTGACAGTATATGGCATAGCTTCAAATATAGCAATTGCATGAGTCTGTTACTTCCAGTAGCAGGGGGACATGTTTTCACACAAATTCAGAGGAGATTGAAATTGTGAAGACTCCCTCTTTCTGAAGTGGTTCAAATGACACTTCATGCTAAAGTAGGGTGACCAGATCGTCCCAGTAAAACTGGGACAGGCTGTTTTCTCTGGAACACCCCCTGGTTTTGATGTACTGCCTTGCTTGGAAAACTATCCAGTGATTTTTCCTTTCAGTGCCACTCATTTGTAACAAGCAGCTCATCAGCCTATTGTCAACCATAAACGGAGGGAACATGTCTAGGATTTTCCTTTCATAAAAATATGGTCACCCTATGCTAAAGGCATAAATTTCTCTGAGACTGCCCCACTATATATTATCTTAATGAGCATGCAAGACATACACATCCAGGTGACTAGTCTTTCTATTCAATCATGTCATTCTTCCCTGCCATGTTCCATACAATAATCACATATGCCAGCCTCTGGACATAGCTGTCTATCACATATGCAATGAGAGACAGCTAAACAAAGGACTAAGATTGGATAATGTTAAAAGAGAATATAATATCTTCAATAAAGAATATAGAATAAGGTATAAGGTCTCCCTTATGAAGAAATCATATTATTTCATGAGAAAAATTGGCATATATGAAGGTGGTTCAAATGAAAACAAGAAACATTTAATTTTAACAATGCAAATGAATTTTGCCTTGAACAGTGGACTTGATATGTTGGTTTGGTTCAGTTGGCACCTCTCTGAATGCTCACATTTATTTTTCAACAGGTGCTAGCAGTCACACAGTGAATTCAAAATGGTGGCACATCTGGAAACTTTCACCAAAGAGATAGTAGCTGTGGTCTGCACCTGTCCAGTATGCTAAAAGATTGTACAATATCTGAGCAATGCAGCCATGGTAGATAGTTAAACGGTGTTCGCTACAGACTTCAATGATGTGTTCACAATAGGTCTATCTTTACAGGATGTTACACTTAGGTTAGCATCCTATTGAACCTTTACGACGTCCACTAGCATACCTAATATACGCTGAGCTTAGGCCTACGGGCTCACCTGGGTGAGAGTCGGTCTCAGAAGAACAGGAAGTATCAGTGAGACCTCGGGGGACTCATCTCCCATCCTCATGTTGCCAGTTTTTGGGAGGAAACAGGCCGAATATTAAGAGAGAAGGGCCCTGACAATGCATACGAGACTTTCAACAGAACAGCAACAGGCCTAACGCTAGGCCTCCTGTAACATCCAGTGTTTCCCCTAGACAAAAAAAAAAACCGAAACGATTGGAGCTGACGATGGCTAAGAGTAAAGTGAGGCATGAATTTTATAATCACAAACCTCTCTTCACTCCGTGTGACCTTTCTGCCACTGGCTTCTCTCAGGCTTCCAGAATACGGACTGCCATGGAGGCGCACATTGTGACTCACGGGTAACTGCCAGAGATGCCACAACTCTAGGTTCGAAGTTTGAGTTGGGATGTTTGGAGCTTCTGTCCGGATCTAAGCCCGAATAGGGTAAACCACCCTAGTTTTTGGCCACGCTGATACGACTCCCATGGGAAGTGGACACCCTGTGCACACACCGGGAAACACTAGTAGTAGGTCCTCGTATGGGAAGACGTTGTCAGAACGCTTGAAAACGGTCAATTAACCCTAATTATGCTGGATTTAAGCCTCACTGGCCAACAACTGGAGACCGGCCAGACACCGGGGTGCTTACCTTAATTATCGAACGTTCACCCTACCCATCCCCATCCATGGGAGCTTTATCATGTAAATACACCACCCCCTGCCCCTGCTGCCTGTAAATACACCACCACACCGGCTGCCGCCCCCGCCCCCGGTAAAATACGCCACTGCAAAGGGGAATATGTTGTCTAGGGGAAGGAATCTCGCAAAAATAATTTCAATGCGTGCGCACGTCAGCCAACTCGATTCATTTATACACCATCATTCTTGCTTTCCCATGATGGCATAGTCTCATTGTCTCCCACGGAAGTGATAACCACTACAAATTCACCGAATCAGTTCCACCGCATCTATTTCGCAACTTAGATCCTGCCAAGAACTGGTTCCGCTGTTATCTGGTTCGATTAATGTACCTCCTTCTGAGTGACCTTAAAAGTCTTGAGATCCCTCCTCGTTAACTTGCTCTCCTATTGAACTTACAAGTTAGATGTGAATGAAAGTCTTGTTTCTGAAGTAATCTGCAGCATAATCCTGGCCTGTATCTTTTACAATGAGTCTAGTCTACCCTGGGCCAGCCCTAGCTACTTCAACGCCTACTTCCTCCTCAAAAGGGAGAAGGGTCTGAAAAGAGTCCAAGAAGACGTCGAAGCAAAAGGAATTTCCACTCTCTGAAGTAAAACTGAGGGTGAAATCCATTATTGCTTCATCCATTCTGGCACGCATATTCTAGTGTATATGCGCCCTGTGCATGGGGCACATGCCTAAGGCCGGCCCTGAGCCTACTACCTTGATGATAAAACAGGCAGCCTTGGCAGAATATATTTGCTGAAGACCGGACCATCAACAGAGGAGTGGTCTTAATCTGCAATCAAAGTAAGATCGGACAGCGAGCCATTTCCATGGTGAGGTTCTTGAGCCATCTGCGATACCATTTGGTTGTTCACTAACCAAGAAATGGGCAACAAGCAACTCAAACAAATACACTGATGAACATTTCTAACTGAAACCTAATTTTCAGCTTAGAGTTTTCCCATTGAAATATCCATCAATGATTGTGATCAAGGTTGAAACAATCATTGTATGCTTTCAGAGACAAAATTTTGCTGACAAAGGAACAACAGTCAGTTTCCCATTCCAGGCAAGGTCAATCATCCAAATAATCATGGACTAAAGGAAAACACACACATGGAAAGTAAGTCTTTCTTAGCAACAGCATAAACCCTTTATAAATTACCAGACTCTATTTCAAACATGTTGAAACAATGCAACATCCAGATGTTCATAATGGAGAAACTATACAGCATAATTTGAAGACACCAGTCTTGTTGCAATGCATAAATACCTCAAAAAAGAAAGAATGGGGAAAAATCCTGGAATGCATTCAGGAGAAGTCAGACACAGGTACAATTCCAGAACCGTGGTGGGGAGAACCACATTTAGCCCCAGTTGAATTAACTGTTTTCATACTGAAGAGAAAGGATGACACAGTATCCAGCCTGGACTAGAGGCTACCAACTAGCCAATTGCATCTTCAGCACTGACATTTAGAAGTTTAGTCAACTCTGATATACTTTGCCACTAATTTGAACACGGGGATCAAAGATGTGACAGAGGTGCAAGCTAGTCACTTTACCCTGATGATGAGGTTCTTGATACAGAAAAACCATGGAAGGCTTCTTCACAGTTCAGCAAATTTATTTAGATGATGAGGGTAATAAACTGGGTGATTCCCTTATTTCACCATGCAAGGAGCGATTTTTGAGAGCTACATGCCTGCAAGGATATCATAAAATGGTCTGGCATATTTGTGATGCCTTTGAATTCCACAATCATAGTAAATATGGCTTGAACAATTGGCAGCATCAAATTAAAGCTTCTTTTCACCAAAATGGAAAAAGCAGAAAGACCCAGCCTGTGATTTCAAACCTTCACCAAATGCAAACATGAAAGGGGCCAAGAAAGTAACTATCAGAACAACTGAAGATTACGATACAGTATGCTCTCAAATTTTGTACCTCCATAATGAGGTGGTTGAATTATGATCCAATCACAGGCAAGGTAGAAAGCAGAGGAATTGCTGCAACACCCTCAACTCCTCAATTGCCATTACTTTCCCACCAAAACCTAAATTGTTTGATTATACCCAAGAAATTGGGTATCAGATGAAACAATTGTGGCAAGGAAGAGCATATATCAATATCTGTATATCAAGAACAAGGACATGTAATGCAGGATGGGAACAGGAAAACTACAGTTTTTGAAAGCTCCTACAGTTCAAAGGATGACTTAGACAGATGGGATAACAGTGTTTCTAATATTGTTCCCCAAGATACCCATCCAATAAGATAGATCAAGTATTTAATTGCTGATAGATTCTATGAAAACCTGAGGGCCTTGCCTTCATTACTACCATAGGAATAACACAATGCACTATGTTTTCCAAGTACCTGAACTAAGATGTGAATTCACTTGTGCTGATTGCAGCTCTTGCAGAAAGAAAAATAAAATACTAGAGAATAAGTGATAACTGTAATGAAGTAAATGCCCCAGAATTGTAGTTTATGAAACTTGGGAAAAAATGTGGTAAGGCATGAAGATGAATAAATTTCTTTCTGCATCAAATGAGAGGGGCAGAGCAAAATTAAATAATTAAACATGTCAAACTCCCTCAGCATGACATTCCCATCAAACTGGAATACTATGGGAACACTCTCTACAATATGCACTGCTATCAGCATGAAGTGAAATGGCCCTCAATGTGACAAGAAGGAAATTTAAATTCAACTCTAAAACAGGAGGAAGTTGTCATAAAAGGCACAGGAGTATCTTGTGGGCATGACAAGCAAAATGCAGCCAGAGATGGAAAAGAAATGAGAGGCTAACCAGAAGCCTTCCTCATAGTTCATCTCTGAGCAAGGTGTATCTATTTCTGGAAGGAGCAAGCTTCTTGAAAGTGGATTCAGGAGGTGTTGTGGGAACCTTGGCTTCCCCTGTCTCTTGTTCCTTTGGATGGGGTCGACCAGTCACATCTGTATTCTTGCTGGAGTCAGAGGAAGGTGCTGGATCTGGACCATAATGGAACTCTCGATGCAATTTCCCTGAATACATGTCTTCCAGAAACTGCTTCATTTTCTCAGGATCATCAATATCATTCATGTGTGGATAAAGGTACATGTGGCGAAAACTGTCTAGAGCAATCAAGGGCAGTTGATCCTTTGACTTTCCCAAATGATGCAGAGGATGGGAAAACTTCAGACCATCTGCAGTCAGGAAAGTCACTCGATCTGCAGATTGAGAAATAAATAGACTTAGAAACCAGCACATGACCCAAAATTAATTCCAAAGGCAGGGATGTGACTGCCAATGGATTCCCTACAATTGACCATAGGGGGAAAAGCTCATCAGCTTCCCAGTAACCTTTCATATGAGTCTGCATGGTGCATCAGGGTATGGGCTCTTGATGTCCCAAATGCCCTCCACACATATTTAACTTCTTCTTTCACCTACTTTCCATATCATTATGCAAGGTCATCAGTTTTGGATTGCCCTTCTGCTAATTTGAGGTTTCTCATTTATGGGATCAGTGGATTAACCAAGCAGCAAGAAGGGAGTGAACAAAGTTTGTTGGCAATATCTTCAAATACAAATACCATAATCTCCAAGGTCTTCAACCCTCCCAAGTCGGAGCTCTAGTCCTCCATATTAACCCTCTGACTGCAGGGGATTGAAATGCCTAGCCAATCTGTCCTTGCCAAGCAGTTTTCAGTTTCATTCCTCAGTAGGGGTTTCCTAAACAAAGTGGAAGGTGAGTCATTCCATGTCAAGTAGTCCAATTTTCAAGAGTTTGATTGCTGTTCAGACTGGGATTTTTGCTGTAGAAAATGCTATGAACAAAGGTTTTGAGAAGAGGATAAATCCAAAATTTCAGCAGTCTTGGTCCAATGGTCTTCAAGATGTGCCCCTTTGAAGTTTGGGGGGGAAGGGTAAAATAACCCCTCAGATAAATGCAACACCTCCCAAGCTACTCAGTCTAGAGAGCTGGTTAAAAGCTAATTCTAAAGCATAAAGCCAGACAATCAGAATTTATTTCATGAGTGCTTCTCTGTGTCAATTAGTCAAAAAGTTACAATTTCTTGACATTTCAGAAATTTTCACATTTTCAGCCTAAAAAATCTGCAATAAAAATGTTGTAACTGATTCATCTTTGAGGTGCCTTTCATGCTCCATGGTTCAAATATAATGTAATTTTTTAAAATGATACCTGAAAAACTTTCCTTAAAAATCCGAAGTGTAAAATTTTGCCATATTTGACCACCACAACCTTCAATAACTTTTGTTTGTTTCCATGTAGAGGTAAGATCCCTATATAAAATGATAGATAACCCAAACCCCTTTTGTGGAATAGTAATTTCATTCTGTTACTTTGAAAACTTGAAGGATGCTTTTTTTTAATTGAACATCTCAAGCAAGATGTACCATCAAGCACTTATCCCCATTTGGATCATCTTTCAGGCACAGAAACATTAAATATTGGATATTTTCAAATTTAACACAGCTAGTTAAATACCTGTCTGAAGAGTCATTTTAACCCTTCTCTACTAAACTTCAGAGAAGCACATTTTGAAGAACATTGGACTGGGACTGGAAATTTTTTATTTAACATCTCATAACTCCCTTTGCACAACTTTTTTTTTATAATGCCCAAATCCCAGCCAGTGCAGCAACCACCTTTGGACCACTTTACATGGAATGACTGCAACAGTCATTCCCAAGTCCTCCATCTTTCACATTTGGAGGACTACATACAGGCAAACATCAACATCCCATATGTCGTGAACAGCAGTCAAAGGGTTAAACATCAAGATCTCTTTCATTTTAACAGCTTGACAGATAAGACTTGCCAGAGAAATTGTATCCCGTCAGGCATGGGACTGGAAGAGATAAGTAAAGGAAACAATCTAATTGACCAGCAGCCCTTTTGCCAAAGGGAATGGCCTCTGATGAACCCTTTAGTACATGAGTTTTTCTTTTTTAAAAAAAAAAAAAACTGGTATGTTTTACTTAGGTTACACAGGAAAAGTTGGGGGAAAAAATTACAAGTAGTAGGCTTAAAAAAGGTTATTTTTGCACATTTGCTACAAACAATATTTTCAGCTTTCTAACCCAAGCTGCATGGAGGCTGTTGACAGACCAACTGAGCTAGAGAGCTCAGTTGGTCTGTCAACACTCACACATACCACAACACAAAAGCAAATGTAAAAATATGGATGAACCTGGACCCAGGATTAGTGTAAAGTTGAAAATAATTGTACCAACACTAGTTTGTTACACAATGAAGCCATGCCTTTTAAATTTGCTTGCCACCAGGAGTGTAGAGCACCTAGTGACCACTGGAGTACTAGGTGCAAGGATTGAACTGTCATACATCTGCTATGAACCAACTTACCACTAGAGCTCACTACCTATGCATTCTAAAAATTTTTATTTGGAATGTAGCAAATCTGCTACATCATGCATTTAAGGGTTAAGGACCAAGGATGATGGTAATGGGAAATCACAACTGGCATATCTATACCACAGGTTGGGGTAGTCTAAGAGCATATATTCAATCCTTCAAATAGACATCACAATATATAAAACAGATCCCTCACCCCAATTCCTTCTCTTTGGTAATGTTGGCCTATGTCTCCAACCCCTGAAAGTGATTGATATCCTCCTTCCCTCTCTTCCTCTCCTTTATTTAAATGTAATTAACACGGGCCAGCAGAGATTTGAACACCCCAGTTGTGAGCAAATAGATTTTTCTGGTATTGGCCAATAAAATTGCTATATATCTAATATTAACATAACTTCATATCATCATAAGGTGACTAAAAATTAAGAAAAAAATCTGAAATGTCACTACAATGGTGACTCTTTCCAGACACAAATCACATTCAAATACATAGAGGCCTCCCAACAGCCTTGAGTAAAAATTACAATATCACTTAGGGATGTTACTGATAGGGAATTTTACTGATAACTGATAAAGTGATATTCACCAAGTGGAATCCAAATATAACCAATAATCATGATGATTGGATATCAGTTTATTGGTGGGTTAGTCACATTAGTTTCTGATAAAACGGAAACAGATAATTACCAGCTTTTTTTTATCTGCCTGATAAATTATCTGTAACATCCCTTACATAATAATTTCAAAATCAGTCACAAGTCTATAAAGCTGTGATATCTTACCGTTAAAAACATAGAAGTACAAAATTGTGGGATTTATTATGACAAACCTTTCTCTCCTCTCAAGTGGTTTTGAACCAACTTGTTGAAACGTTTCACAGATTCAACATCATCAGGATGGTGGAACAGGATCACAAAAGGCAGTCCTTCTTCTGTCAGTTCTTCAGCATTCTCAAATGTGATCTCTCTTACTAGTGGAGTGCAATGATCTGTGGCCCAATTCAAGAGATCTTGCAATTCTTCCTTATTACCAGCATAGGGCTCATCAGAATCTCCACTACTGAATGGTGGGCGGAATACAATGAGACTCTCAGCTGAGGGACGAAGAGGAGTGGGGCTGGAATAAAAGAGAGAGGAACCCCATGAGGTTTAGGATGATGTTGTGGGTGCTCCTGTGGATAGCTTTCAGAATAGGTTGGATGCAATTACGGACAAAGCAAAAAATGGGCAAAAAAAAAGCAATATAGCTGTAAATAACTTAATAGCAAATTAACACATTCCAAAAAAAAAAAATTCTTACCATGAGGGTAAGTATATCTTAAATGAGCCAGTAGACTCAACTTTTGATGTATAGGGTGTCCATAAAGTAACTTCACAAAACGATTTTTTTTCTCATTGCCAACTGAAATTTTACGTTGCCATAGTCTTAAAGAAGACTAAATTCCTTATTCCAGAACACTAATAGCATTCATTTTTCTCCATCCCAGGTACCTGAAAAACTAATATTTTGACAACTGTTGAAAATGCTCAGTTTCTCGCAAAGAGCATTTCCTCGTTCTCCTGAAGGTCAACCTTGTTTCTCTTGGTCTTGAACTGACCTGTCTCCTGAAACTTTCAAACAAGATCATGAATGACTGGGTGAGAAGGACCTTGGGACGTCTTGTAATGGTGTTTGAACTCCTTTTGTGTTTCTGCCCATAGGTGGCGATTTGTTGAGAAATTTGGGGAGCTCAGACAGTACTTCGAGTATTCCTTATTCTTCTGTCAAATTTTTGGGGCGGCTCGAGTCCCCTGAGCCCCTATGAATCACCGCCTATGTTTCTGTCACAGATTTTGACTCAAAATACCACTCTATCTTTATTCATTGCGAGAAACTTAGCATTTTTGGCAGTTACCAAAAAATTATTTTTTCAGGTACCTGGGATGGAGAAAAATGAATATTATTAGTGTTCCTGAATAAAGAATTTAGTCCTCTTTAAGACTATGAAAACAAAATTTCAGTTGGTGACAAGAAAAAAAAAATTGTTAGGTCAAGTTACTTTATGGACACCCCCCTGTAGTAGGTAGGAATGCCTCTTACAACCCAGCCCAAACCAGGAACCTTAATATGAATTTTAACTAATATGTTCCAAGACATTACCCTATGGCACCTCACACTAGAATTAATGTGGCAGCTATTTTGATGGCTCACAAATTTTTAATGCACATTACTCTGCTCATTTGGCAACCAAGGGCCTCCAGTTTTTACTTTTCCTATCTAATATTGACATTTTGAACATGTCAAATAACATCAGGAAAAAACAAAAGACTGCTCTGGTAGTTCTAGTGTTAAGGTACATTTGATTGTATCACATGTTGATATGTCTTTACAACCACTGCATTCAATACTTGAGCAGTGTAGTTTGCTGACCATGATGAACATTTCCCCAGCTTGGGGAAGGGTTCAGTGCATTGTGGTGATGGTCAGGGCAGCTCTCTTGCAAAACTTAATGAGACAAGGCAATGGCAGAGTCAACATTGACTGACATAAATGGATGAAACTGCACTAAAATTCGCTAAATGGAAAGAAAAAAGTACTGGGAATTATGGGAGTCATATATGTTTAAAATTTCTACAAAGCTTGTAAATCATTTTAAAATACCTCCCAATGTGACAAATGAGCACTTTTCCAAGGAATATTTGAGATCAGTTAGAGTGATGGTATGCCAAGGGAGCATATCTCCACCCCAGCATCAATAAATGAAAGGAACTGTGAGAGCTAAAATTGTCAGCCAACCAACCTGATTAACTGAGAATAACCATGGATTCCCTTCGTTGCATTTATTAAGTACTGGAGTTTAAGGTAATGGTTAATGAGAAGTGAGCAAGTAAAAAAATACAGTGAATTCAGAGAGAAATAAATAATGGACAGGTTTTTGAAGTTTTCCTTGAAATTCCTGTTCTCTTCAAAAACCTCAACACACAGATTGTTCATAAAGTCATTAAGGAAACTTCAACATCACAAAACCTTCCTATTTCCATTTAAAATGGTCATTAAAAAAATGGAAAATGAGCTATGTTTCAATGCAAAAAAAATAGGCTTCAAAGTTCAGTCAGAGAACTAAGAAAAATTAAGAGCAGGATAGGCCAGAGAAGTACAACTGAAAAAGCTCCAGCATGACAGACTCTCATTAGTATTTCCTGAGACACTTGAAAGTCCTTGTGCATGGCCCACTTGCAGTGGTTTCAAATGATTCTGATATTCTCTTAGAGGCATGTTGACTGCAATTTTTAAAAATAATTTTATAATATATAATAATAATTTTCATGAGATAGTCAAGTTTCAAATATCTATCACTTGACAGACCAGGGGAATGACTGATGGAAATGGTCAGTGGGCCCTGCACTTCAAGTAACCAGTCCATTGAATAGGACTATATATTTCATTAACCTCAGATTAGAAAAAAAACATTCCACAATAAAGATAATGGATGGACTCACTCATCTGTAGCAAAGAAGTCACAGTCATCTTTGAGAATCATGGCCACTTTGCGAAAGTTGTTATAATCTTCCTTCTCTTTTGATGTCACATAAGCAATCATACTTCTCTTCTTTTCCTGAATAAATAGAGACAATCAGTTTAATGTGTCACATGTTTCAACTTTTTTTGGTAAACATCAACATTTCAAAACCAAACACATCATGAGATTGTCTATATTAAATTGATTTAATTCTCAAAGTGAGAAACAATGAATCATGCTGATTTTCCCCTGCATGGATGAGACTTGAGAAAAAACTACAAATAATGCAATCCCAGAATAGTATACTTCCTTCTTCCAATAGCCAGCAACATTACAGAAATGAACAAACTCAAGAGCTAAGAAAGATTCAAAAGACATACCTCAGTTTTAACACCATCAGATGCTGAAAAAGATTTCACTGGATCCTGAAGTTGCTCCTGGATAAAGGTAGCAAAAGCTTCAGCAGAACGCTGACCCCTATACTCTCGCTTCACCAGCTGACCAAACTTCACAAGTTTCAGAGTAGGGTATTTTGATATGTGATAACGCCGAGCAATGTTACCTATGATGAACAAAACATAAATGATATCAGCCAAACATGCTGCATCAACACTGATGACAGGACAACAGACCAACATCTGAATCTTGTATTAGACAAAAGACCATCTTTGAGGATTTTTTTTTTCTCAAATTCTTTCAGGTATGATGAATTTCTGACACTTATATGGCATTGCTCCTGTCTTAAATTTCAAATGAAAGATATCTTATGCAATTTCAGGACTGTTCCTAAAGAAGACAACAATTGACAAGAAAACCAGGAATGCAGCACATTGCTGGAGATTCTCAACGTGTCATTAAGAATACCACTAAGAATCAAATGCATAGGAGAGTAAAAAAAATTAGATCTTGCTGACAACAGTCATTGTTTCCTCAAAGACTTCCATAAAAAAAACTTGAGTCTCCTGCAGGAAATAATTTTTAATTCTATTACTTTATTAATTTTAAATTTAATTCTATTACATCATTGGAATCCATTATCCTTGCATATCATGCACATCCCTAAAATTCCTATGAATTTCCATTAATGGGAGAATTTATTGAGACATTAAATTAGTATGAGCAAACTTCAGCAAATATTCATCCAAAAGAGGAACAATTTTTTGGGTATCCAGAAAACCTACAGTTTTCAAAATGTTAAGTTTCAACACATAATCCATGAACAAGACATTTGATAAGCAATGAAACCCTTTGGAAAAAATTATTTTTCAGGGCATACAATAAAGCAGATGATGAGGATCACCCCAAGAGACTCTACACAGGGATTATGTCTCTCTTCCAAAGCAGCAAATGCAGAAGCATAAAATTCAATAAAGCTACATTTCTCCTCACAATAAATGTACCCTTCAACCAACAAATTTTTATTAAGGCACTGAGAAAATTAACGATTTTTTCATATTGTGCTAAAGGGATTATGCAATGTTATACCAACTTATTCATAAATAAATCACAATGTCAACCAAATGTAAAAAAACAGTGAGCCACCATGATGGCATGTTGAATATTTGAGGCGCATTGAGAAAGCCATTATGATGGTCCATATCAGTAAGAGGAGCAATAAGATGACTTTGGTCATATCTATGCCCAGCAAATATTGAATCCTGGAACAGACTAAATAAAGGATCATGAGAAGCTAAAAGCCTTCCATCCATCAAAAAATGCAAGCAATGACCATGTTCCAGCTACTTGGGAAGTCACAGTCATAAATTTGTGAATGTTAGCTAGAAGATCCAGGAGAAAACACTCATTGCAGGAAGATATCAGAAAGAACTTGAATGCTAAAATTTTTTCCAAGCAATTTTTTTCTTTTTCCAGTTTCTTAACCACAATATAACATTAATCCAGATGACCAAAAAATTGCACTTTCACTGAAATGCCACACTTCACACTTCCAGCAGCTTTTGCCACCTTAAAAGAAAGAAATTATATCTGCTTTAAAACTCATAGAATGACCCTCACATTGACCCAGTCCCAGACTATGCCAAGCATGAATGGATTCATCCAGTCTAATCTGAACTGCAAAGTTGTGTAGTTCACTGCTTATGCCTATGAAAATACTTACTTTCCTTATCACAGTCAACTTTTCCAATGGCCGCCTTTCCATAAGGGGCCACTTCCTTTGCTATCTTCTCAGCTGCTTCTTCCCAAATTGGTTCCAGCATGTTGCTGAACTTGCACCAGTCCGCATAGAAGTTAACGAACACCACTTCATTCTCCGCTACAGAATAGCCCGTGTCACAAATGAGGTACAAGACGTTTTCAGAGATCTTCCAAATGAACTAATCAATAATATCATCAATATTATCACTCATATGTTCATCAATATCAGCAGATCAATAGTAATTTCAACAGTCTCTTTTGAGTCCAGATATTAACCATTTTAGTGCAGTGTGGAGAATTTTTTGACCACAGCTTTCCATTAGGTTTTTTCCATCACGTAGTTGGGGTTCTTATTGTTAGATGACATAAAAATAGGACTACAGCATTTTTGGAAGTGGTAGACGTAGCCAAAAAATTGGCAGCATAGCACCCAAAGGGTTAAGGTTAAGAGTCCAACAAAACTACCTCTGAAAAAACCATGCCACTAGCAGAACCACCATTGGAACAACTTATGGAATAATTGGGGCATAGTGCAATTGCACTGTCAGCACAGACTCATAAAATGCACTATCAACTAGGTCAGTGTATGAGGCAATGGAAGAGAGATGAGGTAGAAAGAGAATGGCTTGGTAAAAAGTACATCAGCAGGTCAGAGAAAACCAGAAGATGCTTATAAAATAAAAAACTTTAGATCAGGGATGTGCGACCTGTGGCCAGTGGATCTGCTTCTTGCGGGCCTGGTAATGCATAATGGGATAACAGATAAGTTTCTTTGTGGCTGAAGGCCCATCACAACTTTGGCCATCCCTTAGTATTGAGAGATAGACTGAGTCCTATCACTTCCTTCTAATTTTTCCTCACATGGGCAGTGCTACATACTGTATGTCTTGAGGAAGAAGATTCTCAATGCCAAGGGCTATTTTTGGACGCTGGAATTTCCTAGGGGTGGGGAGGAGGTAAGGATCATTGGCCAATCAGCGTGACCTTATAGCCTCATATGCCCTGAGGACAAAAGAGGGGAGCCTTTTCCTTTGCATTCTGTGGCCCATGTCAAGAGTCACACATTTCCATGCGGCCCACTACTGATAAAGGTTGCACTTCCCTGCTTTAGATGATGCATGAAATGATGGCTCACCAAGAACTTTATCAAAGTCTGATTCTCCAAGTTGCAGTGCTGATTCTCCTTCCACATGGTAGGAGAAACTCAGGAGCACCTGGAATATTAAAAGAATGGGAAATGAATCCAGAACAGAACAGACTTCTAGAATGCTTACACTAAAATGGGCTGCTGTACTGAGTTCTGCCAAATAGTGCTCTAAGTAATGTTAGACCTGCCTCCAGTATGTTATACACCCATGCAAATGGTGTGAAATCAAAAGGTGTACAACAAAGACAAAAATATCCTTTTAGGGATAAAGACAACAGACAAGAGAAAATGCCTCAATTTCCAAGATCTCATTTCTGCAATAAGGAATGCTGTCCAAAATACAGTGTAGTGACAATATTTAACAATTTCAATTTTGATAAATTTGTGAGAGAAATCAATAGATCACAAAATAAAATCACTTGCAAGTTTTTTTTTCCCTAAGACTTCATACCTAGCACAATGTTACTCAGGGCCCTGCATGTAGAACAGGTCCCCTTTTAAGATCTCTTACTTAAAAATGCTTTCTTTCCCAAGTCAAATAAGATGAAGTCATCAGCACCCAGCCAACATAGAAGAAAACAAAAAAATGTATTACAGGGCCATGAATCCAATAACTGGATTGATGGTGGGGAAAATATCAATGAAACATGGCTCCAAGCATGCCTCTGACAACTCAAGTGACAGTCCCCTCTTGTTCCTCATGAAGCAAGGGGAGTGCAAGATGTCACATTCTAACACAAGCATAAATAGCCAATATATAAAGGATGATCCAGATCATGGCATTAGAAATAGGAGGAATGTTTCAAAATAAAAAAATCTTGAAGTAAAAAAATGTTAGACTTTGCCGTTTTTCAAATTAAACCTATGTAACAATTTGTCACAGCACAAGAGTGTTCCAAACGTTTTGTAACTCTAGTACTTTCAGAAACTAAATTTATTCCAAGCATCTCTTCACTTTATGATTTATCTTTCATCAGCTGATATGTATGGTTTCAATCTGCTAATCCACCTTAGAAAGCATGTTTTGATGTTAGTTTGGTGAATGTGATCAACACCTTGTTCACTACATCTTAAGGCTCCTCCATGGATTTAAATCTTTCTCCCTTCAGTGGGTATTTTTTTTTTTGGAAGATCCAAAAGTTACATGAAGTTAAATCCGGAAAATGTCTGAGTCGAGACAGGTTGAACTCCAGATTCCTCCAAAAACTGCTGCGATCTGATGGTTGAATTTGCCTGATTATTGTTTTGGTGAAGGAGTGTTTCTTGAAATCCTATTTTTGGTTGCTGTTCTCTCTAGGCTTCAAACACTTCAGACATGCAAGCATCTCCATACCAGCCTGCAGTAATTACTGTACATGCCCCTCATCATGACTGACAAGCTTCAAAATGTCATGCACCAAGATGAAAAAACCATGTGTGTTCCTTTCAGGCACCACTAGGTCTCATGACTTTCACAGGTGGTTTCTCATCTTAAAACACCCACATCGTGCTTTGCCTCTTAGTGAGAGAGTGAAGATGATAGAACCAGGCTTCTTCACATATGGAGATGTGTTTCAAGTGCTTTGACCTCCCTTCAGCAGCAAGCAGCAAAATTCCTCTTGCTTGTGATGTCACAGCTTCAAACTTTTTTCATCAGTTGTTTCCTCATTATGTGACCTGATTTTGGATCACCTTTGAGACCCTCCCTCACCACCCTGAACATGTAGCACCACTGAGTGACTGTGCTATGAGCATGAGCAGTCTCCTAGCACTGCTTCCATCTCATAATAATGATCCTTGACATATGAACCTTGTTTGAAATTGTAGAATATTGTGACCAGGAGTTCTCTTCCCAGAACAGGAACTGATTTATCACCTTTCTAGCAGGTGGCAAACCAGTCTAATAAAATTTCTCTTCAATTTTTATGTACATCACAAAACTTTTAACAATTTGGTTTAGAACATTAAGGAACTTAGGAAAAACTACAGGATTAAAAAGCATAGACATTGAAAAATATCTAGAATATCAGTTTCAAAACTTTTAGAATAACCCTTGTACTACATTACACAAGCCTAGGACAGGTAAGAAACTGAAACAGGGATTTTTTTCACTCTGAGACATTGGCCAGCTGATGCAGCAAAAACTGCAACAGATGGTATGGCAAACACACCAAGAGTACCCCTTTATAATTTGGAACGTTAAAATCAATCCCTGGTTAGAATTATTCATAAGACTAACTTTCAGGGCTCTCTGAGAGTTGATCCATAAATTGAAGTCATTCTCAAGAGGAGCATTTCTCACACTCTGGGTTGTGACTTCCAGGGGTCACTGAAGGGTCACAAAGGGATCACAGGGGATAAAAAAAAAGATGCAGCAAATCTATTTTCTTTCATTGCCCTGGCAAAACAGACAATGCTCACCATAAGGATGTTTTTTGAAGAGTTTTAAAAATCAATCATCAGAAAACATGCCACAGGAGGGAAAGCCTGGTGTAAAGTAGCCTTAAGGGTTTAGTTGAAAACCAGGTAAAATCAGGAATGAAGAGCTACTAATCCTTGAGAGCCACTAATTTAGTTTTTTTTTTTCCACCTAACCCTTTAATGCATAATGTAATAGATAACTACATTCCAAAGAAAAAATTTTAGAGTGTGTAGGTAGTGAGCTCTAGCCATAAGTCAGTTTGTAGCAGATGTGTGATGGTCCAGTCCTGGTACTGAGTACCCCAGGAGTCACTAGGTACCCCACACTCTTGGTGGTAAGCAAATTAAAAACACACAGATTCTTCCTGTGACAGATTGATATTGGTGCAATTATTTTCAACTTTATGCTAATCCAGGGTCCAGGTTCAACTGTATCTTTACATTTTCTTTTGCATTAAGGTATGTGCCAATGATGACTGACTGAACCTCCATGCAAACATAGGTTAGAAAGCTGAAAATGTTTGTAGTAAATGTGCAAAAATAAAATTTTCAGACCTACTAATTTGAGGAAGGAATTTTTTTCTAATGTTTCCTCATGCTCTAAGATCTAAGTAAAATCTACCAGATTTATTTTGATGAAAAATCAGGCATTAAAGGGTTAGGCCAATGTTGCATTTTACTCAGACATTTGTTGGGGTGTTTTTCATGCATGAGCAGTGAAGTCAAGTGAAAAAAGTCTGATTCAAATGGAAAAACTTTTTAAATGTTTTCAGGTTTAGAAGTCTTCCTTCGTATAAGAATAACGACTATTAGAAATTGATGTTAATCTTTGAAATCCAATCAAGAGTTTTTAGTGATGCTGCCAGGAAATGAATACAATGGGTATTCATGAATGATGTGTTTCACTGTTTGGATTGGAGTGTCACATTCACATGTTGGCGATTGTTTAATGCGCCACTTGTGCATCAGATGTCCAGATCAACCACGAAGAGTCCAGATGTGATTTAAGGTCACCCATTTGCAGCATGGGAGTGTGACACTTGGTACCTCAGCTGATGGATCATCGATAAGGTTCTTACTTTTCACGTCCATGTGAGACCAGGCTACTTGCCAGCGTTCTTCTGTGTACAATCCCAGGTCATGCAGGATTCTCACAGCAGTTTATAAGTGTAATATGCTGATGAAAGTGTCCTTTTCTGCATTTTACAGCAAACTCTGAGAGAATAGTTCTGAATATTTCAAATTATTCCAAAAATTTAAAGAATACAATGATTTTTAGTCTCTCTAAAAGATCTACTCATGTAAAAAAAAAAAAAAAAAAGAAGTAGTTTTTAGTCTCTTTCCCTTAGTGATTTCACTGCCCCTAACCCTAGAAAAATAAAATCCCATCTCTCATATTTCTACCTTTCCTGATATAAAAATGGCAAGGAATAAAATCAATTGCATCATTATACTAGGCCTAGGATTGTAGTAGGTTACCTTGAACTCCTGAAATTTGGTTGTGAATGCAACTTACAACCCAATTAAATTTCTTCTATGTAAAGTAGATATGCACTAAAAAAAAATATAAACTAGTCTTCTTTCTCGTTATTCACCTCTTGACAATAATTTTTCCATGGATGAGCAGAATTCTTGGGAGCTAAATTCATTCACATTCAATTCTGTTCATCCCAAATTAAGGGGGACAATGTTGAAGCCTGCTCAGGAGAGTCTTCCAATGTTCCCAATCATGAGAAATGAACTCAAGCCCAACAGGTATCAAAACAGGTCCTCCATAGGTCCAATACTCAAATGATGTTTTACATTTTTATATTTAGAGATGTCTTGCAATGCATTTCCAAGAATTTGATTTCATTTCAGCAGAAGCATTGTTGCAGGAATAAGATAGTAGAATGTAGAGAGAAACTTTTACCAATGAGACCAAGAAGAGATGTTTCCAAAGCACTAGGCTCCTATTCATTACTAGCACAAGAATGAAAGGGCTGAGAGAATCCCCTATTCGACCATTGGCATCTGGCATATCAGCTCCACCTGTTGGTCATATGAAACACAGGGTTTAAGTATAAGGTTTTATCCATAGACTTTCTAAGAGCACGATATAGTTTATAGAGGTACGCAAACCATAGGGAGAGGAATAGCCTAAATTCATGTTTCACTTCTCCAACACCAAAATTGCAGGTCAGAATAAACTGGCCTAGCCTAAAAAACGCATTTAAACCTAAGACAAGAGAGAGGAGTTCTTCATTCAACGTAATTAGAGATGTATATCACATGACACATAGCAAAAGCAAAAACTGATGGCAAGGTAAAGGTATCAAAAGCAACCATGCATGAATTGGAACAGAGGATCTTCCCTTACCATATCACAGATTTCCTTCATTTGAATGGGTGGGCATTTACATCTGTCCACTAAATTCACAAACCAATTAACAAAGTGACTTTGAAATGTTGATTCCCACTTTCCCAATTTTTCTCATTTTTCAAATTAAAATAGTAAACTAGTAAAATAGTTACATTTTCATGATCTTGACCTTTTTTTTATTACCATGGGAGAAACATAAGACAATTTATCTTTGTACCTTTGAAAAAGAAATTTTTTTCGAGGGCATTCAAATTATGAAAGAATGAATGAGGTATATGATTTCTTTGAGATTCACTGACCTCACCTTGGAAGGCTTTCTACTAGACCATCTTAGAATCTACGTAATTGTAGTGTGCAGGAATATGGTAACAGCGCACAGCCAAAGTCCTCAGTTGTGACATCAAACATGGATGAGAATGTTTCAAATTTTATCTGGGGCTGGGTAATATTTGCAAAAATGCCTCCCAGCCCCAGGTGCCAACTTCCTTACTACTTGCAAAAGAGAATTTAATTGTTCAAGTTGAAGCTGGAAAGACAAGTATTGGGTTGGAAAGAAAGTCTTGCAACACTCTGCACAAAATTTTTCATTTAAAATATTGAAATAACTTTACGTTAAAGTCAGATGTTACATTACTGGTATGTTGTCTATGACATGTTCCCAACGCACGGGTAACTGCTCAATGCCATTTGCCCAGAACTCTGGCGATTGCGAAGCAAAGAAACGGCTGACATCATTTTCGAGCTGTGCTCGATCATCGAAGGCCTTGTCCCGCAGGTTATTCTTGAGGGCCCGGAACAAGTGATAGTCGGAAGGAGCCAAGTCCGGAGAATACGCTGGATGGGGTAAAACTTCCCAGCCCGGTTCCGAAACTGTCTGGCAAGTCATCTTTGCAACATGTGGATGAGCGTTGTCATGCAGAAGGAGAACTTTGTCGCGTTTGGGACGCTCTTTTTGAATGACCCCAGCCAACTTCTAAAGTTGAGCAGTGTAGATGACGGCAGTCATGGTGGTATCGGTTGGAAGGAAGATGGCCATATGGGTGACTCCAAGTGTAGTCACCAATTCACAAGTGGTGGCGTTCGGCTTCGCGTTGAGGGCGTTCCGCAGGGCTTCGTCAGAAAGTGTTGCAAGACTTTCTTTCCAACCCAATATATTAAAGTTCAACATCCCTTAATAAGGGATGTTGCCAATTCCTCACCCTCTTCTATTTTAGGCAAAGTTAAGCCTGTGAAGAAACAGCAAGAGGAACTTTTTTTTTTTTCATTTCAAAGTCTTTGAAAGCCAAAATCTTAATTTCTTTATTTTCAGCATTCCCTCCAAAGATGTCAATGCATTTTGTCCTATGTTGAACTGCACCCTTGAAGGCTCTCTCAAGAATGTAAATGGGAATAGCTGTCATTTCTGTTTGAATTCAGTCCTCCAACTTCCATTCAGATAGGCAACCTTTCTTAGTGCTACAGTGGCTGATTTGCCAAATGGGCTACCTTATTACCATGCATAATCAATATTATCAATCAAGATAAATAGACCCAGCTTGTGCCCATGAGAAAATAGTAGTTGCATTACTAACTGAAAAATGAAACAAAGCAAAAATTTTATGGACTGGAGAAAATGGAATTTAAACAGTAAATGATAATGCATATTCCATATCTAAAAAAAAAATGCTGAAGAAAAACTAAATTAATTTCAGGACCCAGCCAAATTACATCGCAGACATGCAATCGGGAATTTGCTAATCTGTACATGATTCACACCTTTCATCTGAGTTGCCACCCATCTTCTGCTTTTAAAAAAAATTCAACAGGGTAACATGTAGGATGCTTTAGTGACATTTTTGCTTTACTCAAGAAAATAGTCACATGAGACTGGCATGACCTTCACCATGAACAGAGGTTGGGGACGGGGTGGGGGGGGGGGGGGACTCAGACACCCCAGAACTTGGTTGTGCCACTGTATTTGATCAAAATTCCATGTTAAATTTTCCAAAATGTAGAACCACAATTCTCCACAAGAATCAATCTTTGTCAAATTAGGAGTGGAATGAATTCATGCATCTTAAAACCCAGTAATTGGTGGTAATCGCTCTCAAGGGGAAAGCCCATATGCCTTGATCATATCTTAAGATACATAAGATTTTAGTCTCATGCTATTTTCATCATATTCTTTCTGCACACAAAATTAAATTAGGAGCTGCTCAAGTACAAAACTTTCTGAATTCAGGCACACTTCAGGTGGAATCATTCAACAACAGAATGAAAACAGCAATCCCATTCTGGGATGTTTGGATTAAATTTGTAGCCCCCTCCATAGGGGTGCTTCTTTCAATTGTACACCATGAAAAGTGGATCTTTTGGATGTAGTGTTTTCTCTGTTCTCCATTGCCCAAGGGAATGAATTGAATTTTTTAAAAAAACAAAAAAACAATGTAACTATATCTCCTTTTACTTATTTCACTTATTGTCTTTCTTATTTCTGAAACTTGACAGAATGGTGATCATGCAAAAGATAGAAGCACCAAGGTGCAATCCTGGATCACTTAAAGCATTGATGGTCTGACCATGACACTCAAGTAAACAATCTTCAAGCAAATTTCCTTGGGTTTCCTATGTCCACTATACTCATACGGGCTGATGGGGTGGGTGCAATAGAGGGTAGACCAAAAATCTTCACCCTTGTCCTTAGATTTATACATCATTAATGGTAGGATGTGCTCATACATTTTGGAGGGTGAATAACACTACCCTTTGTGGTATGAATGCAATTTATTTCAAGAAATAAGACAATTACTCAAACAGAATAACTTTCTTTTACAGGATGAGGTAAATAATTGCAGCTGCATGGAGATAGTTCAATGTGCAAGGATAAATATCCTTCAAGCAGGTGCCCCCAGGAAATCAAACAGTAGAGGGCTATGCTAATAGTACTTGTCAAAATACAAGGTGTTTCATGGAAGACTCTGGGATTTACAAATGAAATAAAACACTTGGAAAGTTCCAATATTTTTCCCCCAAATTACTGAGCAAGTCCATGTGCTGTTAATAACAGAGTCATGCAATTAACAGCAATTGAATGAGAAGGGGTTTACATTCTTTGCATTCACTATAGCACTATAGATCAGGGCTTCCCACAATAAAAAAACTGTCAGTTGGCCTATGTAAGTAATGATGAAACCATCTGCTGCCTTTATGCAAGGAGTGAAAGAAAAAAATTCAAAGTCATTTACAGGATTTGACAAAGATACATGGTAATTCAGGATATGCAAGAAAAATCTCTAACATTCTCTCTCATTTGATGATGTACATTAAACCCACGGTCCTGCAGTCTCTTTGCCATCTTCAGCATGCTAATAATTACATGTTGTGGCTCCCTCAGATGTACTAAATAATGTAAGCTGTCCTTTTCTTCTCTAGAAACTTAGATGAACATTTTGGTCAACTTTTATGCAAACATTAAATTAAACTGATGCTCATAAAGTGAAATGCAAATGGCTCATGGGATACAATAAACAGAGTAAGTTAACTGCATTCCTTAATAAGGCCTATTCAACTAAACAAGTGATAAGTCAATTTAATTAAGAAATTATGCATAGTTAGGTTAGAAAATAATTGAATTTTTTTTTAACTCATGGTAGGCCACTAAGCAGGCAAAGTATTACCTATTAATCTACCAGAAATGCAAGCAATGCTAAGAAAACCTAAGATATCTCACTGACAGCAGGTACAAGCACTGGTATAACTCAACCTCAACTTTAACCCTAATTCACCCATTTTTTGCATCACTCCCATATTTGTAAATGTCTAAAAATATACAGCAGTTTTACAGCCCCCAATCTATACAACTCTCACAAGGAATACCATACCAAATTTGCAGACTTCACAACTATAAGAATAAAATCAGAGACAATGTGCCCTGCCACTCTCCGATGTCTTCCACACGTCTTCTAACAAGGCAGAATTTGGTGATCATAAGTTGGAATACCTGCCATTGCTTAATTTAATTTGCATGAAGTAATTTTTGCAACTGATGTAAAAGCAATGGAATGCATTTTTGAAAGAACACACCCCTGGAGCAACCACAAACTCATCTGAATGCTACTACATAATGAATGGACTACTACAGCCCCTAATCTTGCTTATCAACAAACACAGACATCATCCATTCTGGTAAACTTAAGGTCTTGGACACCACATGAGATAAACAATGGCAGCACATCACCAAGAAAAGGTGACCATCATCTCAGTCAATAAATATCCAACATGAAAAATGAAATCGTAGATACTTTAGATCTCAATATTTGGGGTGGGAGGAGAAACTAATATAGTCCAACGTCAAAAATATCTAAAAGACTAGGCCTAGACTAAGCCTACATTAGGCACCAAGCCAAACTATAACGTGAAACCACTTTACGTTACGCCAAAGCAAGCATATTGCGGTTTCCCCCCCATGACTCGGTAAGACACTTCCATTGCGTACCTTTATCATTTGAATACTTTTTCCAGCTTATCCTATTCTTCTCGACGGCTATGAACAGGGAAAATGTTAAGATGAAAGCCTGGGATTTTACCTCTGCCGGTCAGTCATGCCCACACGTTGTCCTAATGACGAATGCCAAGATGGAGAATTTCAGTGGCCAATGAACAGCTCTTACGTTGACAGTGAGCGCATGCAACAGCTGATCTGGTATATACTTCGACGGCACTGGTTCTGGAACCGATCGCACTTGGGGACTGCTCAATTGAACGATAGCTCCCCTCCTCGCACTCGCAATATAGGATTTACTCTGAACTAGCAGCCGCTCTCCAGTCGAGCGCACAAACCAAGGGCTATAGGCAATCCTGAATCAATGTGAATCCCTCCCATTTCGAGATCTGGGGAGAAACGTAATGCGCGGATTTGTACGCTAGGCGATTTTGTCTTTTCAATTCCGGTGATTCGGGAAATACATCGGAGGGATTGTGTTAGGGAACTGGCATGGAGAAACTTCCATGTGGCGTGCCCTTCATTAGGTTTATATATTGAGGATATCATGAAACAATCAAATTTTGCAAGCATGGAAAAAGGATCACATAGAAAGCTGGAATTTAGGATGAAGAATGAGAAACTCCCTGTAGAACGCAAAACCAGTCCTGCTTCCCTTTTCATTGAAATATCATTTACGAATGAATGGGCCTTGATACAACAATGCCTTCAGAAGATTATCTGGATATGAGGCCAGTATTCAGTTCTTACGTAATTCACGGAGTTCACGGTTTTTAACGGAAGCCGGAGTCACCAGTAGGTCAATGTAAGCGTCATGGGAATAATGTTCCATTTATAGAAAGCGACGCTTATGGATGTTTCTTCTGGAATTCCTGTACTTTCAGGGAAACCTTTCGTCAAAGCGATGAACTTTCATCCCCGGCGATTTCAATGCCCCACCTGATTTGCCCGTACTATGACAGGCATGGGACTAACAGCGTTAACACCATATTCAAATATGGTGCATTGTCTTCAAATCGATTTCTGCTTCATCACATTATCATTGTTATGACCGCTGCTTCTTTGAATAAAACTCTGCATAAACGTCACCCTTCACGTGGAAAATTCCTCCCACTCCGTCCCGCGGGATTACGAAATAGCCGGTCGGTTAAAGGTAATGTAGTTTATGGAAATACAGAGCAATTGACGTTAGAACGCTCATAGAAGCAGGGAGAGACGATGGGATGAGGAAGTCAGCATGAAGCTACCGAGTTTTGGGATGGAATTAGGATATCCAACTTCGAGGGTGGAGGCAGTTCGGTTCCAAAATAAAACCACTTGGGCGGACTCCCAAGTCCAGATCCTGTCGAAGACAACTGAGTCGAGCTGAGCTATGTCAAGGTAAGGACTCCCTATCTTGCTAACGAGAAAGATAAGAGCATCCCCGACGGATCCCTTCTACATCAATGTTACACTGAGTGCCTCGAAATTCATTGAGACTTGGAGAACAAATGAAGAACGCTGAAGACCAGCCGTTCCGTTGCCCAGAGCATCTGGAGCAAAACTCCAACGTGAGACAGCTCTCGAACCCAAGAAGCATCCGTTGTGGAAGGATCTTCATCGGCTGGCACTCAATCCATACTACTCATTCATCCGTTGCCGAATCACTCTACGTCCTCTTCTGTCAGGTTAGCCGGGGAAAACCCATTGGGGATAATTCGCATTCTATGTGCCGGATTTGGAGGTTCAGCCGCCGGTGCCTCTTGGACTCTGTTTAGAAGCTTGGAATCATTGCAAGAACTTACATCAGAACGTTGCGGCTTACACTCAAAAGAAGTTCAGAGTTGACGGAATTGATTGAGTTGATGGAATATCTTCATTTTGTTCAGGGTATTGCATGAGGTCAAGTATGTGCTGTGTCATCTTTTGCATGGGGTATTACTGTTTTCTTTCGAGCAAAAATGACTCAGGGGGCCTCAAACCGCCATCCTGCTGGTGCTGGTCTATGAACATACATTGGCTCAACTAATTTTACTAAAATGTGTCATGCATGCACATGCATGTTGCATGCATGACACATTTCAACGGCAGTCTTAGCAGACGGAGCCTGTGGCCAAATGAAAATAAAAACTTTACCGTATACAAGATGAAATATATGTTTGCGACCTTTGGGCAATTCAGTTCCTACCGTCCTTCATTTCTGGATCTCCAGAATCAGTTATACATATTTTTCATATTTGATTATACAATCTGTAAAGTAAAGGACAAGAGTCCGTGATGAATTTCGGTCGGATCGATTGGGTCATCCAAATTTTTACCTGATTCCTAGAAATATAGGATCTACCGAAGTCCGTATCTAAACCCTGTCGAGGGTTCTCTTACTTCATGATTCTGGGAAGGACTGGAGCATCGAGTAAAATACTTGCAGAAATATCTTTAGCAACATCTTTCCCTCCGCCAGACATTTTTACGTCGACAAACTCAGAACAAGACCGACAGCCTACAAGCTGAGAGTCGACGAAGAATTACAGATGACCGGGCATATAGAAGTGGAGAGACAACCAGCGGAGACCAAGACGTCTCGAGCTAGGGTTCGTTTTTCGATCGCTCAGGTCCATGGTCACCAGCCTCGACGCCACGTTCAACCTGACGCTTGTCTTGGATTATGGCGATGCTCGAACTCTCCAGCAACGCTACTAAAGATGCTAAGAAGGATTTTGCATCGTTCCCGGCATCTTGACTGGTCATTAGCTGCAGTGAGGAGCTCAAGACGCTCTTGGGTGTCGACATAATCAAAACGGGTGATTTTCCCAAAACAATCACGGGATTATTCAAGGGAGCTTCTACAGTCCATTTAGCGCAAAGTCACTTTAGCGTTGACCCTAAACCTCCATGTAAACGTGTTCCGGTCCCACGTCCCACTAGGCGCGAGCTATACATTTTGACTCCAGTCTTTGTCCCACTGAGTGAGACAAAGAAGGATTGTATTTCATTTATTGGGAAGACCTTTACTTGTGTGTTTTACTTGAGTGGTCGAAGCATAATTGGAACTGGCAGAGCCACCTATGGAACGGAAAGGGTAGAAGCGACATATCAAAAGTCGACTTACCCTTGGAGCGATTCAACTCAAACCACCTGGCCAAGTGACGTAAGAAAGCATAAGCGCTTCAACGTGCACGTGGAACAGCGCTATGTCGACTTAGCTTGCAACGCTTCCATGAAGCATGCACAGTGGAGCCAGGCTGCCCTCAAAACCTGCCTCATGTGCGCATGCTTCAAGCATGCTGAATCAACTCTTCGTGTTTCCCGCACTCCAGGGATAAGACGCTTCATGTGAAGGGAAACTCTCATGTAAACGTGTCAATGTAACTCAAATTGCCTTCAGATGGAAGCGTTTTGTTTTACGAAACTTAGTTTCGTGCCCCTTATCCGAGTAAAACCACTAAATGCCTCCTTAATCCCTTTCCAATCTTCAGCATGCCATAAATCACTTTCTTGATCTTACCCCTGCTACATGAGGTGCTGTCAGGTGTAGGTCTGCATCTATTCCGGATCGACTTAAAGATCTACGAGTTACATTTCAATTTTCAAGGCTGTTTGTCAATAATCCAACCTAACTCATCATGCAACCAAACTTGAACCGCCCAAAAGTGGCAAGTAGGTTCCGGTCACATTTTGACGTTCCTTCCGAGAAAACGCACATGGACTAATGGCATTCCTCAGCGGTTTGGCGAGGCAGTGGCACAAGTCATAAGTTACATTGGAAAAAGTTGAAAACAGTGCAATATCTCGGATAAATTGTATTTTCCTCCTCTTCTTGCCATCACTGGCACTGGCTGACACCTACGAGTGAGATCATAACCAGTCAATAGGCCAGACAATGCCATCAGTACTTCCAATACCTATAATGCAATTCAAGTTATCAACCATTATCTTCCGGTTTTTCACATTTAATTTAAAATAAGTGTCTTGAAAGAGAAAAGTGATAGTTTAATCCCTTGCAGTCGGTCCAGACTTCTAAGCAGTCGGACTTTCTCATTGAGTAGACATGAATGAAAGCAGAACCACTAGCAATGAATTTGATAAATCAATACAACTGTTGCAGCTAATACTTAAAAATTTTATGCAAGGAAAAATGCGAAGGATTCGAGGCTTAGATATACCTTATGGGGGTGTAGGGTTAGGTTGGGTGCTTGGTTCATTCAACACAGTGGTCCCCGAACTTTTTAAGGCGAGGGGCTCATGGACACTGGTCCACCTTGAAAATGATGCAACACTTATGCATGGTTAACCTTTATCTGGCCATCGATCTCTTGGTCAAGCTACTCTAAACCAGGAAGTCCAATTTTAAAAATGAGCGGCAATCGAGAACTGGTTAATTCCTGACACATCCACACGCACTTCCACCTCGCGCAGTCATGGAAACAGTCATTACTTGGAGTCAGGGCTCATGTGAACGCATCGGTTCTAAGTGCTGCTTTGTTACGAGTTGTATTTTCGAGAAATATATATATTTTTCCTCTGCAGTATGTGGGTGGCCCGAATTTTAGGCAAGTTTAGGCAAGGTGCCCATCTAAATACATCAGCATCAAAACTTTAACAAGTGCCTGAATATCTAAACGATAACTAATGCTCGTTTTCAGCGAAGGATTCAAAATCTGGAATTTGAAAAAGTGTTCATCACGATTATTCTTGAGTGCCAATAAAACAGTTAAAAGTGAAAAAGCCAATTGGTTACTCATAGTGGGCCGCACTTTGAATATTGCTGATTCAACACAAAGACCAAAATATTTGCAAGAAGGTGTTCCTCAAGACATTTTATTTGTTCTCATTAATATCATGTCCCTTGAAAAATAAAATACTCCTTTCAGATTAACCAGACATACTCAAGTAAGGGCATACTCTGGGTCCTTACCTTAAGGAGTTGTTTTCATCATCAAAAAACAGATACATCAGCGTTCATACACAAGCAAGGTTCACAAGAATCTCCAATCCATTCATCAATGAAAAATGTGTGTTGCAGAGTAAAAGGAAAATAAGCACTCCTTAAGAGAAAAAAAATCAATCCACATAATCAAACATGGCACTTTCATTGGTGCATATACTTATTGCTTAGAAAGAATCTGCCAGATCTTATTGGCATGGGAAAAAAATGAAAAAATTGTTAGTGCAGCCCAGGAACCTTTACTTATGATAATCTTAAGGCATGGTCCAGCATCATTCAATGACATCAGGTTGCAAAATAATACTGTACAGATGAATTCTGTGACCGGGATGGGCCTCTCTGTTGCTATGGAAGCAGCTTAGATCCATAGTGAACAAAAAGTTCACAGACACTTTAAGAATTGTGCATCCAGCATATTACATTCATATTCCCCTAGCACTTAGGCAAGTGATTCCTTATCGCCAACAAGTTTTATGAATCTGAGACAGATATAGCAAGATTCAAAGAGACTCAGTTGCATTTCTAACAGAAGAGAAACTAAGCTGGCATCAGATAGGCTTGCAGTATAAGTCTCTCTACATGAAACCATTTTCACTTTAATAAGAAAAAAAAAAGGGATTCTGTGACATCACACTTGCATTGTTCACTTGAAAAAGGATTCTGTGACATCACACTTGCAAGGAACATCACATGCAGTTTCATATAAAATTGGTCAGCTATTATTCTTAGTAATAGGGATCTCATTGGACCTGGATAGGATTGGCACTTTTCAATGCTGCTGGTGCAATTCAAGCATTTTATTACCTTCAAACTGTATATAAGATGACAAAATAACTTCACTTATACTGTACACAAGATGACTATCAGAAGCTTGCTTCCAGATGAAAATTCAATTTGCCATATCCAGGATGGGCCATTTCTAAGGAAAACAAACTTCACTTCTCACCAAGCAAATATCCTTCCATTTACTAGCAATATAACTAAAAAAAAGAAGAAATGCATTTGACATGGGTTTCCAACCAGAACTGCACCATTAGTAAAATAACCTTTACTCTTCCTTGAGCATATTCACCACTCAGAGAAACTAGAGCATCTTTCCAACTGATATGTGACATCCAATGAAAAGACTGAAGAGTTCCTATTGAGGCACTTCCCAGACTTTGCTTCACATGGTTCATTACATTTCAAAATCTTCATTCCTTAAATACTGAATTAGTTGCCAGAAGATGACCAAAGCAATTTTGAATGCCTGAAGCATGGAGCATGGTGGAAAAACCTGATAAGCCTCATATCTAACATTTAAACAGAAAAGATACTTTTTTTGTCAGTGATTTTTCAACACAATCTAAGAAACACAGTAACATGCAAATTTTAAATCACATTTTAAGGAAAGCCAGTAAGCAGAAAATAAAATTTGGGGCTTTCAATTTTTATAAAATTTAAAAGCTGCCAAGTCTGTCTTCTCACTCAATGGCATGCCCAAGGGAGGAGGGTTTGGGGGTCATAAACCCCCCCCCCACTTGGAATACATTTTACAGGTTTGATTCTCCAAATTTTTTTTTTTTTTTTAGCCATATATGCAGGGTGGGTCAACAATTTTTCAAATGTCAACCCCCCCCACCATCAGGATTTTCTGGGCATGCTACTGCTCTCACTTAAAGCAATAACATTATTATGGATTGAAATGCCTCCAATTAGGTTTTATCATATTTCAAGTAAGTTCTTTATTAAGGTTGTTGCTGAGATTTAAAATGTAATTTCCTTCAAGGCTTGAATTCTAAAATTTCATCTCTGCATAGAACTAACACTTAAAAAGCAATTTGCTTTATTGCAAAATTGGCTGTCCCTTACCCTGGATCAGGTCCCATGTTACCTTTTCTACAGGCCAACCAAAACCACCCATTTATGTTGAAACCCATCACCATTGAGTTCATGTGAATTTACCAAATACGGAGTAGAGAAAAACCTTGGAAACTTCCAGGGAGCACGGTAACAATTTGAGAATATGATTTTCACCAGTAAAATAAACAGAACCTTATGGTAATTGCAGTTGTCAAATTGGCAGGTTAGGCCATCTAAGGAAAATATTCATTATTGTCATGTTCATATGCTGTTCATCTCACTCAACCAAGGTCTACATGGTACATGAGATGGCCCAATCTCAAATTTACCAGATTGAGACTTACCCAATGTTTCCACCAAAGCCCCCAAGGTCAATGTTGCCACCAAACTATGAAAGATAATACAAAGGTATTATCTTTCATAGTTTGGTGGCAACCTTGATCATGAAGAGGGCTAATTCATGAAATAAACAATAATTAGAAACCTTCTGGCATTATATCCTCCATTTTCCTACTTGATATGAACTAACCATGTGACATCTGCCTCTCTCCATAAAATATTATTTGTAATGAATTCTATGCTGATAAGAGACATGATTTCAATGATGCTCCAGGACTGAAACTTAGCTCTACATGCAAAAAAATGGTTAAAGAGAATCCTTAAAAGTAGGGCATTTCACTCATCATAAGGCACATTCAGAATCCTCTCTGTGCAAAAATACTGAGACAAAAAGCATATGTCCCTGTCATTTTACCTTAATTTTCTTTTGGGGGTAACTGATGGCAAAGTCACAGTCTTGCTACCTATAGGATGTCAGAATTCCAGTATAAAACAGGTGCAAAATGCAAACAGGAAGTACATTAACCAAGTGAGCAAAGTAAAATCCTCTACTACTCAAAACAAGTAGAACCTAGAAGGGGAAGCTAAATACTGGTTATAAGTGAGCACTATAGAAAGCCTAAATTCATCATTCAAGAAGGCTAGGACTTCACGACAACTTCAACAAGCATCACAATGGATACTGGAATGAAGTGTACAGGGTACCAAGGTCAAAACTTATGATAGGGCAAAAAAGCTACAAAGAAGGCAAAGAAATTCTACTGGAAGACTGTGAGAGCATTTCCATAAAAAGAGGAAAAGTGAATACTTATTCATAAATTCCACCCAAAACATTAAAAATTGAAGAAACCCTAAGATTTGAAAGGGTGCATACCCTATATCAGTTTGAAAACCAAAGAAAAAAACAAAATTTCTTAACAGGAATCAAGAATTGCCTAATCTGAATTATAAAACAGACTTTAAATTGTATCACAGCACTAAGAGTCCGGCTGCAGGGCTCTATGAACTACTGCTCATACAAAGCAGGCAGACATCCACTAAAGAAAGGACAAAGAAAGCAACAGTTTATAAAAGGGAGAGCCATATTGGTCTCTATGGGAAGTAAGAAAACCAACAAAATTTCTATTTCTAATCACCACAGCAGGACAACAGCATTATACATTTTTCAACCTGTCATGCATATGGATCAGCCTATGAAGGGAAAAATGGCCCATTAGAGACCCCACTGAGAAATGTGGCACACATAAATACCATTCTGGAAGCTCAACAGCACCTCCAAAATGTTGGAGCAAACGACCAAATGGAACATGGGAGCATGGGTCAGACCTACCATCTACTGAGGTATTTGTGTTTGCATTCAGCATACACATCTAAGATTCTAGCTATGCTAGGCCTGTACAGAAAGAATAGGCCACACACGAGGATGGGCGGCTATGATTTTTAAGCACCATTGAGAAACATGAGGCAAAGGAGAGGAACAGGACATGTGGATGTACGACACTTAGTGAATCTGATCATGACCAATTTAGACTCAAGCAAGGTTGCAGACTTTGCAATAAATTAAATATTCTGGCTGAATAGGCCAAATTTAAGGAAGCCTTTCATGAAAGGCATGAAGGATAGAAGGTGACTGAGAGCTGCCAGCTCTGCAAGGAGTATTTACAAAAAAGTTGGGAGAAATACAAGGTCAAAGAGAGATGGCAAAGAAGGCAAGCAACAAAGAGGAACATAAAATAAGAGGCAGACACAGAGGAAGGAGGAGTGATTTGACATCATCACAGTATTTGAAGGTGAATGAAACCAATCTGTCCTCACTCCCAAAGCTATGCTGGGATGGGTGGAGGGAGCGGGGTATGAACATTCCCGGGCAATACAGGCAAAACAGGGTTATCGTCTCCATCAAGTCCTGTATTGGTCACAGAGGAAATTGGGTTACTGCTATCAGGTGGAGGTCCATTATGCACAGTTTGAGCAGTTATGAGAGCTTCCTGCTGTCTCCTCCCACTATGTGGATGCCGATGGTTTTTCAGATAGCTATACACGCTTTCAGCACCACTCAAGGCTTCTAGGAAGGGGATCAAATCCCGAAGTTCTGTGTCACTCATGTCATCAAACCAGGAAACAACAGGCACCTATAGGCAAAAATAAACTTCAGCATATCCACTCTCAAATTTAGAACAGAAAGTATCCAACTATAAGTAGTGAAGTTTCATGAGCTCACAGCATTGTCAGGATGAAAAATGTAAGAGGCAGGAGAGTTATCGACTATCACCACTTGATTCAGGTCCCGACCAAGGCGACTGAGGTCTTTCACATAGTTGCCATGGTGATACACACATGCCTCCCGAAACAATCGTACCTTGAAGACTCCTGCCTTATCCAATAAGTCAACAACTGGATCTGCATACTGCAATTAGTATACATACCTCCCATCATTCTCATGTTCATGAAAATAAAAAAAATACTGGGTATGTCAAAACAGGGACATACTTTGGCTAAACTTGCAGTGAAGAGCACGCATTCAAACATATGCCCCATTTTCTCAAGGAATTCATCCACATAAGGCCGCTTCAAAACATACACCTGATGTACTGTTCCATCTATTTCAACTGGTACAATGAAGTCAGCATTGCTGATGGGCTGAAACAAAGCAAAGTACTCAAAGCCATGTCCCAGTGGAAAAATTATGACAGTTCAATTACAGGCATGCATTTACCATAATCCATCAAAGAAAAGAAGGAGGTAAGACCCCCCCCCCTCCATCAAAATCATAATTGTGGGGCATGAGAACTTCACATGCATAAAAAGATTGCAGTTCTGCAATGAGTTGTGTAGAGGCAGTAGCATCACATCGAACAATGTCATAAATCCTCAATATTGAATGCCTGAATGGTCATTATGTAACAATACTGCACAGTGTTGTCAGACCCAAAATTATGTAGGATGTTTTTTTTTAAATTTTTTATTTTGATGGAAGTTTCCTTAGAGATTAAACAATGCAGTGCATTTGCTTTCGTGAAAGGTGTAGATTGACATGAACAGACTTTCAGGTAGGATGCTATTTGGTTATGGATGATCCATGCTCATGCCAACCTTCATAACCTGCCTCACCAGAGATAGTTGCCTGAGCTGAGGAATTGCTTGCAAGGGCACTTCCCACAGAGATCAACAACATAGAGACAGTTCAGAGATGGATTTGCAATGATCCTCACGAGAAACTCATTAGAAACTGCATTGATCTCTGGTAACATAGATGTAAATGGTTGGCCTGAATATGGGTCATCTGTGACCAACTGGTGCCCTTCCCATAAGAGCTTGTACCACCTAAACACTGGCTTTCAATGGAAAATTATGTGCACATGCAAGTACCATTTTGGTTTGAGTGTCAGTCAAAGTCAATCTGCACTTCACAAAGAAGTAATCACACAATGGTGCTCAATCACAAAGGTAACATCCATTGCATTAAAGAACAAAAGCACATCTGCACAAGTTTGGATGTGATACAGTGGTGTTGAATAATGAGCATTTGGACACAGCATAAAGGTTGTATATCATTCTAGGCAATGCATGTGCAACTACACAACTCATAGTGGAACTACAGCCCTGGTCTTTGAATAAAATGAAAAGCTCTTGCACAAAGTATCTAGAACTAAAAAAAATTGGTCAAAACACTCAAGGGACATTTGAGACTAGGACAAGAAGTCATATTTACCCCTTCAAGATACATAATGCTTTGACAGATATGACATTTAAAAAGTACCTTGATGCTGAAAGATTTACTAATATCCTGTCTACACAATCATTCTATTATCATTAAAGTCAGTAATATCAAATTATGTTCATGGTGTGGGATACAGATAGCAATAATAGGTGAAGCCAACGTTGCTAAGTTTGTGATAGCGTGGATGGATTCACAGATTTAACTATGAAGAAAGAACAATGGTGCTCCCAACTGGTATACTAAGAACTCATCATGACATCACAACAGTTGCATGGTGAGACTGTGAAGAAATACAACTGTGGAGAAGCAGAAACAAAAAATCTGAAATGTAAATGTGGCCCATCACACATCTCATAGGCATTCATACTTGTATTCCCCTCCATATATCTGAAATGATCCCACTATGTCAATCCCTACATGCAAATCCTATTACAATTATGATCATCATACAAATGATAACCTCATTATATTACATCTAATGCCAGTACCTAAGAAATTGGTCTTAGGTATCGATAACTAAAAAACTTGAAAAAGGACACAAATCGTCCCATAACAGAAATAATGCTTCCTCTTCCTTCTATTCGACAGGTTGAGTCATATGCAACCTTGTATGAGGGCCTTTAGCTGGAAATACCCAATTGTCATGTCATACAAACCTGATAAGTATAACCTAACTCACAACCACAAGTCTAGCAGTCAACATTTAGCTTCACCCTAGGTAAAAAAAAAAATAATAATAAATAAAAATGTAATTGGTCAAAGCTGTAAAGGCTGGTCACCCCAGCTTTGCAGATTCATTGGCACTTGAAGACTAAGAACATGAAGATTAATAGCCAAACCAGTTCCAAAGACAGATATTCATGTTATTCAATTTCCAGACTGGTACCAAAAAAAGACTTCATGATTTATAGAGACCAATGCAGAACTCATAGCAATGCAGAGCATGTTTGAAATGCAACAGTGTCCCTCCATGTAACACTGATATAAAGGAACTGAGGCTCACAAGAATTCGACTACAGTTCATTTAAGAGAAATTACAAAAATACAGACTCCAGAAATGCTATATTATGAGCTAATAACTCAACTCCACAGTACTATTCCATCTATTTCAGATGGAACATTTAAGTCACAATTCCTGACAGGCTGAAATAAAGAAATGTGTTCACTCAATCAAGAAATCCAATTACAGGCCTAAATACTGCAATCTGTGGGCAGGTATGCATTTCTTGATTGGTATCGTCAATCTCATTCATGAAAAATTAAGGGAATCATGCAATCATAACCAGGGTTAGCTTACTTTGAAAGAACTATGAACCAATGTCTCATCAAGATCAATGATCATGCATTTCTTCTTCGTCTCCTGAGCTTTGATGGATGGAAGCAGATATCGATAAGCAATGGGTTGAGGAAGATGTGGTGAGTATTGGCCATTTTCTTCTGGATGACTCTCACTGTTCTTGGAATGGTAGATTCGACCAAAGCAGCAGAACATGGACTTCCAGACCTTCCGCCGTGATTTCTTTTGGCTATTATTGACTATAAATGAAAGAATGGATCCTCAGATTATGCATTTCATAATAATCATGACCTATATCTAGGAGGTGCTATCAATTAATGACCTAAACATGCTGATATATTCTATGCAAAAAAAAAGACACATGCCAACCTAAACCTTCAGGGGCCAAGCCTTTGAATATTACTTTCATGGCTTCAACAAGTGAAAAAGGAAGGAACAAAGAACACTTCAGCTCAATAAGTGAGCCATTTACACTTACTGACCAATTATATTGAAAGAAAACCCTATCTTCTTAGAGTCTTAAATGGAGGGATATAACTCAAGCATTATTGTTAAGAGTCTCAAGATTTGACAAAGGAAGAAAATAAAAAAGGATTTTTGAGTGCAAAAAGCTGCCAAGCTGTTTCTATTGTCAAAAGAATTCTAGTTGGCAAATGGGATTTTCATATGCACAAAATTAAAACCATATACAGGGTCTAAAAAAAAAGTCAACATTGTAATAGTTTTGTCACATGTTACATAGAACTGTAATACAAATTTTTGAGTTAGTTAAAAAAAAAAAATAAGGGAATAAGCTTCCTTTTGTGGAAAACCACATGAAAATCAATCAGTTCTGAAGCAAGATATGGATCATTGAAAATGTGACCGACATACATTTACCATCACTAAAGGCCAAGTTGAAGATCATCCTTGATACCAGCACAGCTTCAGCTACTAAACAAAGATACACTACTCTTGACTGAGCTGTCTCAGTTATGACTTTTGAGACCTCTGTGCAGTTATATTCATGGAGAGACTGAGGTTTGCCTTGTCAGTAGGTCTGATTCTTCAAGTGGCCCCACAGCCATATATTTGGAGAAAGACCAGTACTATGGCTAGGCCATGGGAAATCATTCCTCCTTGATATAAACTTTTCCACAAGAATATTGTGAAAAAGTGCCAACACAATGTGTGATTAGTGATGAGTTGTGTGTTGTCCTGCTAGAATCACATCTACTGTGAGTTTGGGAAAATCAATATTACTGGCAAAAACGTAAACAAGACAAAAAATTTCTAAATCTTGGCAAAAACGTTTCCAGATCTTACATCTAAGTTCACGGATCTTTCTGCAATTTTCAGCAATGAAAAGCATAACTTCTGCTCATTTTAACTACCACAAAAATTTTTAATTCAAATTTTATATAATAAAAGGAAAATCAAATTCTGTTGAATTTTTTTTGGAGACATCCTGTATGCTTAGTATAGCATTTTAAAATATTGCTTACTGTTCTGACTTCTTTAAGTTTTGGCATGAATCAGATGCATCCAGATATTACTGTTCACATTTTTTTTATTATCCCACAGTAGTCTCACCCATATGGGAAGATCATATATAGTATTTATGCAATTATTTGTGCCTTATATTTCATATATTTTTTTTGTATTGAAATATGAACACACATATATGAAGGTACATATGGTTGAAGCATATGATCCATGTAACAATTATTCATATATTAAACATATCTGGGCAGCATATGTATTCCATGTATATAATATTTCATGGTTTAAGAAATGGATTTCTGCATATATGATGTACCTGGTTCAAGTGTATCATTTTTATAAAGAAATTTCATATACTGGATGTACATGTTCAGCATTCATGCTTTAATAACAAAATATATATTCCATATGCATAAGGTACAGTAAAATATTTATATGGTATGGTCATACCCACACAGTATGGTGACATCCCAGGGATATCACCAACTGAACAACTTGTTCCAAGGACTTTATGGGATATTTTTAGGACATCTTCAGCAATGATGTTTTCATCAACGAAATTCAGACAAAAAACCCCACGACAAAAACTTTTTCTATATTCATTTCAGAAGATGAAAATGATTCATTTTTCATGGACAAGAAAGAAAAATAAGCATGCCCTGGATGAAAATTATATTTTGTCATATTTTATTCCCATCCTGCCAAAACATGTGCAGACATTCTGCATTCTATTGAAGTTGAAAGAGAAAAATGCTAATTGTGTCGCTGCCAAGTTTAAAGCCCCTGATATCACTTAATGGGTTATAATAACAAAAATGGGACAACCACAGCAAAGAATTAAAGTGATGCACAATATTTAAATGAGAAATGTTTTCTGTTGAGGTATCTCTCAGTAGTCTTGCTCACATTTCTCATTCATGCTTGCGCATTGCCAACATGTGAAGGGATGTGGTATGTCCTCCATTCAGTGTTCGTGGACTGTATTTTCTCATACTGTGTGAAACTGTTTTGGTCAGGTCTTGTATGGTTGGCCTAAGCATACTTATTTTTCTTTGGTTCTGATGCAATCCTTTGTTGGCTAAGTTATACTTCATTTGCCTAGATATATGAAAATATCTCATAAATATTTCATAGGCTGACTATGTTTTTGCAAACATTTCTCATGGGTTCAGGCTTGAACAAAGGTATATGATATAATTACTTTATATGAGTGGAAGCAATTTTGCAAAATTTCAAAATTCCCAAATGTCAAAAATAACTTCAGGAACTAAGCTGAAAATTGGCACTTCATCTGTCACTTCTGTGAAAATACAAAAATGATTTGCTTCCAACACAGCACAAGTACATCCCTAGGATATCCCCTTGGGACAAATGAGAAGTCCCTGAGATGATTAGGGACTTCTCAGCGGAATCAAAATATCTGGGTGCCATTCTTTCTGAAACAGACTCATTTTCTACCATACTTGGCAACTATTTATTTTTAATGGGGTGGTTCTGTATGGTATTCTACTACTGAAAATGTCTAAAAGAGATTTCTACGTAGTCCCAAAGTACCTTTTGAAATGTCAGAAACCATTCAACTGAAAATGTCTTTAAAATATCCCATAAAGAGCTAGAAGCATCTCATCCCCTTTCTCAACAAGAAGTATCCCAATGGGGATGCCATCTTCTGGCCAGACAAGGCAAGTGCCCACTATGCCAACACTGTTACACAGCATCTTCAATCCAAGGGAATAAAGATTGTGGAAAAAGAAGACAACCCCACTAATCTCCCACAGGCAAGACCAATTGAGCACTACTGGGCAGAAATTGACTGATGGCTAGGCCTCTTCAAAACCCCTGCTGAAAATTTGGATGAATTATCTCACCGAGTAAAGAAAGTGGTCAAGGACGTTCCCAAAAGCTACGTCCAAGAGCTTATGAGTGCGGTGTGAACTAAACTGCGCTGCATCAGTGCATCTGGTGTGCATTCAGTTAAATGAAGTGGGTGTTCCATTGAGCAGTGTTTGTATACTTGTAGAGAATTGAGGCTGGTTAAATATTGGTGGGGATACATAATGGCAGTCCCATATGTGTGTTCATACTTCCATGCATGAAAAATATAATAATTTATAAGGCACAAATAACTGCATACAACTACCACATATGGGTGGGATTACTGTGGGATGAAAAAAATGTGAACAATGTCTGGATGCATCTGATCCATGCCACAATAAGTGGATAAAATAAAGGAAGTCAGAACAGTAAGCAGTAATTTAAAATGTTATATTAAACACATATGATGTCTCCAAAAAAAAAATTAAAACTGCAGACTTTGATTTTTCTTTGTTGAAATTGGATGCCTCACTTCTTTTCTGATGCTTTTGGCCCCACCTTTCAGTGGCAAATTGGTGCATGAGACAACATTGACTCCAGATCCTATGTTATGAACCTTCACTTGAATATTATGTCACAGACACTCTCCACTCTGCTTCACAGCTACATATTAAGGTGTTGCAGTATACTGATATTTTCATCATACTGTAGTATTATGTTCTTATAATAACCATGCTGACCCCTTCTATATTTTTTGGTATTATTGCTATGGTTTTAAAACCATGGAATACCGACGATATTCATACTGTCACCACAGAATGGAAACTATAGGACACTGCCTCTAATAATACCACCACCAAGAATCATTTCTAAAATGAAATACTTCAATTATGCTTTATATCTTCATCCACAATAATGCCCACTGTCCAGGAAAAACCAAAGCCTTCCTGAAAGTCAGAGTGCATTCAAACTGGACTCAAGGACCAAAATCCATCATCTGTGAGTACACTTGCACCTAGATGGTGCCCTCTGCTTGGTGAGTCTGAGTACTCAATACCAATATGAAATATACAACCATGCACATTGATGAGATGATTTCTCTTGCATGATGCTTCTTTTTTCCAATATCCATAATTTGAGTCTTCCAGCAACTTTAGCTGCAGAATTATTCCTGGGCATGCCAAATGAATCCATCCATTCAGGTATAAACGAATGAACTGCTTTCAATCAAATGAATGTGCAGCTAGCCCCATGCCATCACAACATAAAGACTAGCTCTCTTCATTTTTTTTTTCTTCTTCTGGGAGTTTGTAACTGAAGCACCCCCACTCCTCACTGGTATCACTGTTATACCACAGTATTGAGCTATAGTATACCTACAGAGAAATATATTACATACCACAATGCCCTAATGCATATGGACAACACCTAGTATGGCTGCAAACTATATTTGGACCACTATATTTTATACCATCAGACTGACATATTCAGGCTAATTCTGGGAGTAAACAAGAGATATTGTGGGATGAAAGAAGAACATTGCTCCCTCTCCACCCCATGCTACATCATGCTCAGAGCCATTTGCCCCCTCCCCTTCAGAACATTTTTACATCTACATACATGTAATTCAGGCTATATATAGTGATGTGTGCACAGGTGAATGGCAGTTCATGCAATTCAGCAGTGGTGTGTCTAACAACCAATACTCACATACAATGCCAATGCCAGCACATGATACTATTGGGCTATCTGTCCAGTAGGCCTGGCATGAAGCCATACAACACAGATGACTTTTCCACATCACAATTTCTGATAAATTGAAACAGGCATAGTGTGAAACCAATATCAAGTTCATACTTTGGCTGTTTACTTATTCCAAACTTCTCTAATGGAAGTCCAGAGAATGCCATTCATTTTAGTCCCATGTTTAGTTTTGCTTTAGTTTCATTCATGTTTAATCTTTGTTTCAGCAACAGTTAACAGAAGCTACAATGAACAAATTTAGTAGCTACTAGTTTAGGTAAAATTGACTGGACATAAACTAAACTTTAAAAGCTATTTCATTTGGGCCAGTTAAGTTACAAATTGTCTCCAATTTTATTCAAGCTTCATTGGAGAAAAACTGAAACTGGGTATACACTTAAGGTGAAACTGGTTGTTGTGAAATAATTGCAAGACTACGAGGAAGCTAGATCTAGAACAAATTTGAAAATGTCGCCTGATATCTTCAGCATAGGTCCTGGATGGTACCTGATGTTAAGGTTTGAAGTGGATGTCAAAAGAAACAACGCACAATAACCCAAATATTCTCCCTATAGGATCTGGACCTACATGTGAGTTAGGCTACTCAATTTAGGCCTAAGCTAGCAGACCTACAAATAGGAATTCTTTACTTCAAGTAACAGATGCTGTTGGGCTTCTTCATTTACTGATTTCCACACTTAGGGAATTGATCTTCCTGAAAATAACTGCTAGCTAAAAAATGGGAAATCTCCTGTTCCTACAGCCTTTCAACAGTCTATGTCGAGTGGATGACTCACCGTCATTGCGGGCGGGAACGTCTTTATTGACTTGATCTTCGTCATTTTTGCTCACTCGGTTGGCAATAGACGAAGATTCCATTTAGACATGGGCGAGAGAGTCCAGTTAAGTCCTCCCTAGTGCACGCAGACATTAATCAAGAGAGACGTGAAGAGAAGTCGGCAGGATGGGCTTGGGAATTCAGGAATCCACGGAAGAAAGCAGGGCTAGATGTTCGACCTCCTGGCGCCACAGCTGCCATTTTACGTCTACACACACCACGAGTCTATCGCGGCTCCAGAGCCTCCATCTGTCGTTTCACTGACTCATCATGTGCTAACCTTCTTCGACAGATGTCAGCACCTTCTTCGTCCTTGCCTCCTTGTGTGCTATCAGGAGAACTTATGTAAAGAGAAGCGCATGAAGAAATATGCACCATGTGGCTTAACCGGGCAGTCAGAGGCGAGTGCATTCCAGTTTTGGCATGTGCATAAAATGTCTGTTTCTCTCCAACTGAGATGGGGAAGGCGACATGTGCTGTCAATTTTTCCTTTTTGGGGTTTTCTCTTTCCGGAGTCTGTTCGTCGTTTATAAATGACTCAAGAATGCACTAAACCATGGTATCTAGGAGAGTGATTCTTCTTTGGATGACACGAATCCTTATATCTTCTGTTCAAAGTTCAAGGTTAGGGTAAGTGAAGAGGAAATCGTGCCTAGTGGAAGTTGAGCACACTCCCCAACTCTTCTCCATCTCAGACAAGCATACTCTCTTAAGGATTGAGGTCCAAATGCACAAACCTCATTTGGTTAACGGTACTTTAAGGAGCCACGGAATCCTATGGTGGGAAAAAGAGCTCTCGAGTTTAAAAGTCTCTTCACCTCGCTTAAATTTTCTGCATCCGGACCCAAGATATTTGTTTGGAGCGGGTCATTTACCTGCATACAGACAGCAAAGGTTAAATCCAAATCCTAAATCGTCTATAAAATCCAGAATCCGCGATATTTATTGAATTTTCTGGCGTTTGCATCTGAACAACTAGAGTTCAGCACTTGCTAGAATCTTCTCTTTCCGTGGTATTACTGATTGATCTGCTGTTTCAGGTTCACGAAATTTAAAACTGAGGCTCTGAGGTGAATGAAGAACACTCATTGTACAGAACAGTTATTGTAGTTCTGTTTATGAAATGTTTCATTCGGATTTGTGATTCAGGAGATCTTTAAATTTGATTCGAGAATCACCACTTCGTAGTTATCCCAATTCGGATTCTGTTCAATTCTATAAAAGAAAAAGTCAGAATTGGTCCTCTGCCTGCAGAGTTGATAGTAGGGAAGAAATACCAGCGGAAAGTCCTCGCTGGTCAGCTGTGACTCTCAATTGCAATCTTGGCCGTGTCGTAAAACCTGGGAACTTGGCTATCACATAGAACCGGGTCAATTATTGGACCGGGTAATGACTTCGAAGTCCAGGACTGGAGTCAGGGACTGCGTCAGTTGACTGAGAAGTAAAATTGGAGATTATTTCTCATTGGAGTTTGTTAACATTTATGTCATAAACTACTAAAAGCTGATGGCAGACATATTTTCCCATTATAAATTGTAAGGACTAGGCAATGCGTCCGGGTTTCCCTCCAGGGCCGGAGCAGTTCCTCGTCAAAAAACCCTTTGCATACAGAATATGAAGTTCCTTGAGAACCTGATCTGGGCTATGATCCTCAAGTCTCCTTGAATGGGTCCCATAGTTGGACCATAAAAAAGAACAACTATGGAGGTACCGACTGCAGCACCAAACCCAAGGCTATCAATATAAATCGTCTATGAAGTTAATTCCTCGTTACGGTAACCCAGGTTCAGCCCTCTAATTAACGAACGCGGCACCGGGCTAGACAAGTACCATCACGAAGCAGGGAGGATAAGCTAGATAAACCTGCTTGGTGGACAAGCCGTAGGGGCCTTGTTTAATGCCCTGTTTCTACCATGATCTCGTACTCATAAAAACGACCATTATAATGCTTGATAAATATTTTGAGTGGAATCAGATGATAGGATGATGGAAAAAGTAGCTTTCTCCCTTGACCCCTTTGGTGATCAGCCAAGCTCCCAAGATGTCGCTGTGTTCAATCATCTCATTGTGACAAGGTTGAAAACGTCCTCCATCACTTCTCCATTGACAGTTATTTTTCCCTCGGCTCCTCGAAGGGATGATTCTCTGTCGGGACAACCGTTCAAAACCAAAGACGCAAACGGCAATATTTCGACCTCAATATACCTGTCTCAGTCTGCGCTTGCACTGTACATCATATCACCTTGGGAGAAGGTGGACCGCCTTGGTGATATTCACTTTTCACCAAGTTTCTTGACCATTCATCGCCTCCATCACAGATCCGTGGTACTCTCAATTCTTACTAGAGCTGTTCTCAAAACGTTGCTACACCATTTTTTCATTGGGACGAATATATATCTCTCTTCAAAAGTCAATACCTTTCGCTTCGTCCATAAGAGTACCACCGCCACTTGGGATTCTTCAATTGCCAAATTCCCGTCATATGATCGTTATTGTTTCCACTATTCAATGCACATCGAACTTAGAGTGGATGAGTTTCCCGTTGCCATCATTTAAGTTTCATTGTGATGAGCATATTAACATCTGGATAAAGTTCTTATTCATAATTGAGTGAACCATGAATATCCATGCTTCTGGGCACCAACTTTCGGCGATGGTCGTATTCTACGTTTAAGGAAATGCAAGTTTTTGTTGAAAGCTTAGCCTTGGTAATCATCACTGAAGCCGAGGTTGAACGGAGGCGCCAAAAAGTCTCGTAAAATGATGCACCCAAGTCGAGAATATGGCCAATGCTTGAGCAGTGCAAGTCTTGAAGGGGAATATAAATAAATTGCAAAGGAAACCATGAATCATAGCTACCCCGTGATGGGAGTAGAATTTATTTCAATATTGGGATCGCAAAAGACGATCAAGCAAACTCAATGAAAGAGCGAGAGGTAATATATCAGCAATGATCAGAATGACAGCTCAAGCCGGTTGCTCATGGCAAGCCGCTTTCTTGCAAGGAGCTTTCTCGCTGCATTTGCAAGACGAAGGGTTCTTCATGCAGCACTTCTCCGGTGCGCACTGGCACGATTCGTCTGAAAAAGAGAAGAAAATAATTTTATAATTAGGGAATTTTCTACCATTCTGGGTAAGAACCTTCTAATCTTCGGCATCATATTTCAACAGCGCATGGAGAGACTGCAGTTAACGTACTTCTGCTGCTGTACTTCAATTCTTAATTCGCTAACGAATGCGAGCTGCATACAAATAATACGAAGAACGAATTGTCATGCTTTCATACGCCTTGTGTGCCTTTCCAACAAACTTCTAAATTTAGTTGTATTTTTTTTTTCTGGGAAGACGTTGCTCCCATGGTCTGCACAGTTTTACCCACCGGCTATCATGGTTATATTCCACTGAAAGATCTACATACGTAAAAGAAGTGAGGAGAGAAGTCGCTTTAAGTCTACATTCCAATGCAAATTATGTCACTATTACCAATCTACGCACTTCCTCACGCCACTCATATCCTACTCGTGGTGGCTGACTGGGATCGCGAATGCATTCATTGCTATGGCATTCAATGCAGCACACTCACAAATGGCTCCCGCCCCCAAAGCACAGAAACCAGTACACTCGCTAAGGAAGTTCCCGGCCTTGTCGGGACTCCGGGTACCCGTATGTATACTTGCTCCATAGTAAAAAAAATTATAATTAGGAGAAGTAATAGTCAGTTAGCATCCAGTGTCCCTTTTTTTTCTTCAAACTCCCTCGTTTCGTTACACTATCATCATTACATCGCTATCACTTTCGCAGATTCGCGCCAATTCAGAATTATACTCTCGCGGAATCAGATGCTCGTCACCAATTTAGGATTTCTAAGGCTAATGTCCCTGATAGAAAAAGACAAGGCAGGTCCCATACCTGTGCAAGGACAGTCGTCCTTTTGGGCGCACGCCTCACACCCACAATCTTTGCAGCAGGGGCAGCATTGGCATGGATCTACAAAATATACGCCATTCCATGAAGCAATTGCATGCAACTTGATCAGCAATAAGAGTCGCCCCAGCACAAAAACCTACCTCCGCATGGGCAAGGCATGATGACGACAGGGATCTTCCTCTGAAGGGCTGGTAGCAGCAACAGGAAGGAGTGAATGGAGCTTGGAGTACTCGACTGACGGGAACTGAAGCACGATGCGGTACGATTTCTCTATATAGGGGCGGGATGTGCGAGCCGCTCGCAAAGAGGTCACACGGTTTCAACACTACTATCCTTCGACTGCCAATCACGGCTGGCTCCATCCTTGTCCCGTCCCCTGACATACGCACGCGCTTGCGTTTTGGAAACATACGTGGGTTGGAGCCACTCAAGGACACCATGTCATTCTTTCGTCTTTACCCGGGGCCAGGACAAGCGTCGCCAGTGCGTCGAACTTCCCGGAATGATGGCGCGTTTTTAGAAAGAAGCGCTACGTCAACTGCGAGCAGGAGAAACTACAGTTATTTGCGACTTAATTCGTTCCATCTTATGCACATGTTATTTTTATTTTGATTACAATGAGGTGAAGGGATATCTCACATGGAAACAAAAACATTGCGCCCTTAGAACTCGTTTTGCAGTGCTTTTCACTTGAGTCAGACATCTCATTTGACTCAGACACCTATGCGATGGAGCTCTTCCCGAGCTGAGTGTCCGAGTCAAGTTGAAAAAATGGTAGACTCAAGTACAATACAAACACTAGCTGTGCTATAAAATTGTATGGGGAAGTCATGGTACTGAACAGCAATCAGACCCATGTTCTTTCTTCTAGCGAAGCAAAGAATTCGCCGGGGTATTGCGCATCAAAAAGTTGTTGCTGTGTCAAGGACACATGAATCCGCAGCTTCCTCTTCTGTTTCTTTCCTTCCTGTTCCTCCTTCCTCTCACGTCACATCCGACTCACAAGATGCTTACAGGGAGCTTAGAATATATTGTATTCATTTCTATTAGATCTGTTACGTTCCCCTACGGAAAATGTGCAACATGTTGAAATTGTAACAGCGAATCACCGGTTTTCAACTTCCAATCTGTTGAGAACAGGAGTTCAAAATTGGTCACTATTGAACCACCGTTGATTAACCGTTGAACCCGATTCTACCGGTGATTCAACGTTGAATCACCGTTGACTCACCCGTACATTTTTGTACGGGTTAGAACCTTCTGTACAAGTAAGCCATGA